GACTGCTGAAAAGGGTTTTTGCCGTGTGTGCCGTGGCCGGCTGGGCGTGAGGGTGAGTGGCTTTACTGTCAGCCTCGAGTGTAGCGGAAAGTGGCGGATGAGCCACCCGACTGAGTCGTTCACTGCATTCTGCGATCTGGGCTCTTGCAGAGCCCGTGGTGTCAGTGGCCCGGTGGAGGCTGTGTCCTTGCCCAGCTGCCCACACTCACCCCAGTCTGCCCTCCCGGAAACCCGCCCTGCTCGGCCACCTCGGGGCAGTTGTGGATGTCCCTCCACTCTCTTGCCAAGTCCCGGTTGTTCCTCGTCCTTGCTGACCTCATCTCTGTGTGGGCAAGGTCGGCGTTTGTGCATGCCGTGAAGCTGAACCTGTTTGCAGGTGCTTATTGCACGTCCATGACTCATTGTCAGTGAATCCTCTGCTCCCCGGGGCTGGGGACAGGGCTGCCGTGAGGACGTGAGGATTGAATGAGATGCTCCAAGCCAAGGACCTACGCAGTACCTGGCACACAGTGGGTGCTCAGTAAAAGGTGTCGACTTGACTTTTGTCCTGTTTCTAATCCAGGTCTTTGCAGAGTTGGGCAAGGCCCTCCACACCCTCTCGCCACCCATCCCAGACCCTGCTCCCTGGCAGTGTCCCCAAGCGCTGCCCACCCCCAGCACGCTGTCCTGGGTCCTCACGCCCTGCTCACACTGCATCCCCGCCCGGGACGTGCTTCCTCCTCTTGCCGCTGGGCAGGTTCTTGGTGCCATTTCAGCGTTTCCTCCCGGGAGGGGTCTTCCCGGACCCCCCACCCCCACCCCGTCCCTTCCGGCCAGGTGAGTCGGACTGGGCTGCCCGTGCCCTCTGCCCCTCGTGTGAATCCCGGGCAAGAGGCGGCCTCTCGCTCCGCAGGCACCTGCCCCGTCCCCGCGGGCTCCGGGCACCTGGGCAGGGCTTGGCTTTGCCTGCTGTGCCCGGCCTGGCGGGCAGCCACGCGCCAGGCTGATCGCTGAGCTGAGGAATGTAACTTGGCGATCAGAAATCCCCGCTGGAATTTTCCCTTGAGATAAGCAGGGGTGAAGGTTCCTGCAAGGCAAGGCAGACTCACGGTAAGACCCTGGGAGATAAGAACATCCGGCAGAGCTGGGCCTCCGGTAACCGCCCCCTTGGCCACCAGAGGGCTGCCGGCCTTTCCCTGGCCACAGGTGTGGTCACCTGGCCACTGCCTTGGGAGGGAGAGGTGGACACGTGAACAGTCTGACACGTGAACAGTGTTGGGGGGAGGGGCAGGGGAGTCCCGGTCTGGGCAGGCAGTCAGCAGTGTCGCTGCCAGCCCTGAGAGCCACTTCCGAACCTCGGAGGTGTCTACCCAGCCACTCTCTGCATGCCACCCTGGGAGAGCAAAGCGTGGAAAGTTACCAAGGGCCGGTTTGGGTAGAAAGGAACCCACACAATTGGGCTGCCTCGGGGAGAGAAAATCCCCTGTCGCTATGCGTATTTGAGCAGAGACTGAGAAGTCAGTAGGCAGGGAGGGTGCAGAGATTCTTCAGCCGCTGGGCGGGTGCTCAGGCCAGACCATCCCCAGGGCCCTTCTGGCTCCAAAATTCTGTAAATTTGCATTTCTCTGGGAACTGGGAATGTGTGCAGGGGCGTGCACATGCCTCCAGATGTGGCCTGCGGGAGTTGTGTGGTGGAAACTCTGCTTACCAATGCTAATACAGAAGAGTTTATAAAACGCCCAGAGAGGGCTGGGCATGCTGGCTCCTGCCTGTACTCCCAGCACTTTGGGAGGCTGAAGCAGGAGGATCACTTGAGGCCAGGAGGTCAAGACCAGCCTGGGCAACAGAGAGACACCTTGTCTCCAAAAAAAAAAAAAAAGAAACTTGCTTATATTCCATTTTCGCCTGATTTCCACTACAGGCAGTGATGATTGTGTTGTGCACAACAGCAAACCGTGTGGCACAGGGATAATGCCTGGGCTGTGTGTTGATTCGCCCTGCCACGGGCTTATTTGTTCCTGAGCCTGACTCCCTGCGTCCCTCCGGGAAGCATCTTCTGACTTACCCGAACGCCGCAGGCTTCCCTCTCGTGCTGGGTGGCTGTCCGTGCAGGGTTAGGATGACCCAGTCACCGAGGCCAGGTGAGAAAGGGAGGTTTCAGGACATCTGGTCCAGCCCCTCACTGTAGAGGGGGGCAAACAGGTGTTGGGAAGTGGACGGTTGGCCAGAGGTCCCTGGGGGAGGACCCTGTGGGTTGCGGGAAAAAGACCCCCCTAGGTGACCTGTGTGTAGGGTGCCCTGAGACCAGAGGGGCATGAGGAGCCCCCAGGCCCTCCCAACGCCTGGGGTCTGGTTGCTCACTGCACCCTGGGCCTTTCGGGATGGGAGGGCGTCGGGAGGCTTGGGATCTTCCCGAGCCCAGGGCCCCGCCAAACTGCCCAAGCACGAGGCTCCGGCAGTGGGTTCCCTGCCCCATCCGCAGCATGTGCTAACAGGAAGCGTTTCCCTCTATGTCACCTGTAAGGGGGAGGGGGGTGCCCTCCGCTGTGTGAGCTTTGGCTCAGGCACTGCGGGCTGCAGGATTCTAGGATGGGCCCCGAGACTCCCACCCTCTGGTGTCCACATCTCTCCCCTTGGCTGTGCACGGGACTGCGAGTGTGATGGATAGCACCCCTGGGCTACGTCACATGGCGAAGGTGAAGGGGTTTCGCAGATGTAGTTAAGGTCCTGTGTCGGTTGACTTTGAGTTGGGCGAAAGTGAGACTGTGCTTGGTGGGCCTGCCCTAAGCAGGCGAGCACTTCAAAGAGGGTCTAGAAGTCAGGCAGGGTCTCTCGCTGGCCTAGAGAAAGCAAGCTGCCCTGTCAGAGGGGCCCGTGAGGGGTCACGTTGCCTCTGACAGCCGAGTGCAGCCCCGGCTGATGCCAGCAGGAACAGGGGCCCTCGTTCCTGCAACCACGAGGGAGTGAATTCTGCCAACAGCCACGTGAGCTTGGAAGAGCACCCCGAACTCCAGAAAGACCCCAGCCTGACCGACACCAGCCTTACCGGAGCCCGAGCAGTGGACCCAGGTAACTACACAGGCGCTGGCCCCTGTCCGCCCGGAGCTCACCAGAGGTGCTGTGTTAGCTTTGCCCTAGGCTGTGGTGGGAGCCACTGTGAACATGGGGTTCTCTTCTCTGAGCTCCGGAAGCTCCGTGCCCTGCCCCCACCACAAGTCGCAGACTTTCTTAATCTTGTTTCATTTCATATTAATGAACCCAACTTTTCCCAGGAGCCCCTGCCTTATGGAAAATCGAGAGGATTTGAAACTTTAGTCCAATCCAGTAGACTTGCTGTGCTACAGTAACACAAAGGAACTTCAGGTAAAATGCCCCTTCTCCCAGACATCTTGCTCCTCTGTCTCGGATGGGGCGGGGAGTATGGCCCGTGACCTGGTGGCAGTGTGGGGAGGGGACGTCTGGTCCCCAAATCCACGCGGGGCCCTCTGGCTTCCTCCGGTCTCTGCAGGGCGTGTCTCCCTGGACCGCCAGCCTCTGAAGTGCCACAGCCCTGCCCACGGCCACCCCCGAGCCTGTGTCCATCCCCTGTCCCTCGGCTGGACCCCGGGGGCCTCTCTGCCCTTCTGCACCACCCTTATCAGTCACTTATGCAACCTTGCACGTTGCGTGTTGCCCAGGGGTACCTGGGGTGCTGTCTTACACTCTTGGGCTACCCCCTGCCTCTCCTTGGCGCCGTGCTGTTTTGGGACTGGCCTGGGATGTCTTCCAGCTTCCCCAGTGATGCATTCAGAAGAGTCCGCGCTGACCCCAGTGCCTGGGGCTCCTCAGATCTCTCTGGAATCTCTCATATTTCCCTCCCTATGCCACCTCCAAGTCCCCATTCTCCCCCAGTCCTAAGGCTAAGTGGTGGCTTCCCTTCTTCTGCCCCCGACCCCTTCTATGTCCAGAGCCTCCCTAACAGGGTCTGTGACAGTCACAGCTGAGCTGAGCAGGTTCCAGATCTCTCCTTCTTCAGGCCAGGCCTGGCTGCCGGGCTTGCTGTCTGACGGCAGACACGCGGCTCCCGTGCGGGGGCAAGAAGCTAGTGTTTAGCAATTTTATCTCTTTGCATTCCTGCTATAAGATTGGCATTTGTACCTCCCTCCCATTCTGTGCCCCCAGCCCTGCAGGAAGGGGGTGCTTCCAGACCACGGCGGAGCAGACCCTCTGTGCCAGAGGAGAAAAAGCACATTGCCCCTCCATCGTGCGAGCTGCAGCTGGAGCTCGCCTCAGCCTTCCCGGGACCTGAGTTTCGGGCTGGGGCAGGGGACAGGACAGTCGCTCACAGAGGGAGGAGGTTCTTGAGCCTCCAGAGCCCAGCCAGGCGTGCTGGCTCATCGAGGGAGGGGGCGCATGAAGGAAGAATCCTCTGCCCCTGGGGGGTGCAGATGCAGCCGAGAAACGCTGTCCTGCAGGGATGACAGAAGAGCAGGAGCCCAGGGCTGGTGTCCCCCCTTCCACATAAGGCCTGGGGAAACTGAGGCAACTCATTTCCAGCAGGGGAGTGGGAGCGGACCCAAACTAGAAATTAAGGAGAGCAGTGAGAACAGGAAGATGCTAGCTTCCTGCATGCTGATTTCATGCACTGGCAGTCAAAGCTGACAAATTGCCATCTTCCTCAGCCTCTGGCCAACCACCCTCTCCCCCGCCCCCCACTAAACTCAGATACTCTGAAAATCTTATCTGGAAGATAAGATTTATTCTGTTACCACCAAGCCAGGACATTCCAGGACTACAGTTGCGAGAACAATTTGGGAGGTCCCCTTGCGTCTCTCCTGCTTGCAGGACCACCCCCCCCCACCTCGCCCCAGGTGGCACCAGGCCTAGGATGTGACTCCTGCACCTGGCTGACCCCCGGCTGCCTCTGGGTCGGGATGCAGGGCCCGGAAAGTTCTGCCGTTGTTGAAGGAATTCATTCATTTGACAAAAATGCTTTCTTCTCTCCTAGACTGTTAGTTTTCAATCGCAACAAAGATTCAGTCCATCTCTGGGGAAGGAGCCAAGGAAAATGTTAGACACCAAAGAAAGACCTTGCAATAAAGCCGAGAAACTGGGCGGGAGGTGAATGCCAACAAACAGGACAGGAATGTGACTTCCGGCTGGGTGCCCAGGTGTTCCCAGATCACCTGTTCTGCGGTCCAGCCTCCCGCCCTTCCTGGCCCCAGGTGACCACATGACTGTGGTGCACTTTGCTCCGGAGCCTTTCGGGAAGGGAAGAGGCCTGACCTTGGGGCTGGGGGCAGGGCGGGCACCACCCGGCCCACGGCTCCTGCTGCTGACTTCCGCTCTGGGGCTCTGTTTGCCACCGGCTAAGAGCCTGCTCCCGTCCCTCCACGGCCCCTGCCCCGCCCGCCTGTAGAGGGAAGCAGACCTTCCCCAGGCCAGAAGGGAGGCGAGAGGGAGGCAGGTGGAGGCCCTGCAGGACCCGGCCATGACCCACTGTCAGGCTCCCTGGAAGTGACCAGGCCTGGGGACAGGTGAGTCATTGTTTAAACCTCTGTGCGCTTTGCAGAGTGTCTGTGTGTGTTTGGGTGTCTGTTCGTGTGTGTGTGTGCGCACACGTGTTCGTGGCTCTGTGTGTGTTTGTGAGTGTCTGTGTGGCTCTGTTTGTGCCCGAGTGCCCGGAGTCAAAGCTGCAAAGTGGGGACAGGGGCATTTGCTTTACTCGAGGCCAGAGGTGTCCTCGTTTGCAGCCCTGGTGGCTCAGTAGGTCAGGTTCTCGGAAGGAGACTCCTATTTTTAAGTTTTCCTTTGGGAAAATTTCAGTTAAAGGCCTCGAGCGAAAAAGTACTGGCAATGAAGAGAAGCCCTTCAAAGAATCCATCTCAGACGGCACAAAAATGTTCGGTCTTTACAGATTGATGATGCCTACAGGGCTTGTCAGGGTTTCCTGTAATTCTCCCTCTTGAAATCTACATCTCGTCTTTCCTCTGTCTCAAATGGCCGCCTTGCTGTGACAGCCATGCAGTGTTGGGGACCCTCCCGGTGTCCTTCCCGACCTGGGCAAGAGTGGCGCCCACGGGCACGCCTGAGCGGCACACTCTTCCCACCAGACCCTTCCCTGGAAGGGCCTCCCTCCTCCAAAAAGACTAGTTTGAGGGTTGCTGTCTTTCGCTCTTTTCCTTTGGAGGGGGGGAGGCGTACGAGATGGAAAAGGCCCAAATCAAGATCGGCAGAGAGGCCCTCACCGTGCACTCGGCATTTCTGAGAACACCTTCCTTTGCCTTCGAGAGACTTCTGATAACCCACCTTGGTTAGATTCTGGAGGCAGGTCGGGGCCACATGAGCAGTTTTCTCTTTGGACAGAGGGCACAACCTCTCGTTATGGGAAGCTCGGGACACGGTCACACACAGGTCACACACGAAAATGTTCAGCACAGTCATTTCATCACGGAGAAAAAATTCAAAACCAAGTAAAGACCTAGTAATAGGGAAATGGGTCAGCAAATCGCGATACTTGTAGGAATGTTAAGTTTCTGAAGTCTTTTTTTAAAGGTAGGATATACAATTTTATGCTAACACTATGGGTTCGGTTTGTTTTTAAGAATCACAGAAGGAAAAAGACTAGAAGAAAGTAGGCAAAAGCCCATTTGCGACTGTATTTAGGGTTTGGGGTTATAAATAGTTTTTGAAAATATTGACAATTATATGTTTATATTTATAGTAAAAGATATATTTTTAAACAAAGAGAAGTGTCATTGTCAAAGGACTGAGATGCTGCTGTCTGGTATCATGGTAACGGTGCATCTGTTTGCAATTTGCTTAATTCTGGCATGTTTTGGGCCATCGGTTTTAATGACATGAGTGGTTTCCATTAATCTGTGTGAATACATAGCAAGGAGAACTTGGAAGGGCATCTTTAGGCGCTCGAGAACGCATTGCTGCAGGTGTGTTAGGACTTTCTCTCTGGGTGAAATCACAGTGCAGATGGACGGGATGTTTCCGCCCAAGCAGGTGCCGTGCGTACTTCTATCCAGAAACAAGGCGTTAGCCCCGGGTGGCCTGCAGAGTTCCGAAGCTCCATTCCTAAAAGGGGTTTATCAGTTATGACTCGCCGCTGAGCTTACCACTGAGCCGTTTCAGGTGCCCGGGGCAGGTGATCGTGATGCAGAAACACGCCCTGCCACTCTCCGCAGGTGGCCGGAGTGACGCCAGCGCCCGAGAGTGCAGTGCAGAGGCGGAGGCCGCCTGCTCGGGCTTTGATTCCGCGTCTCTGTCCAGGAAAAGCCTCCGCCGAGCCTCCCTGCAAGCCGGGGTAACGCAGACCCCGGGGGGTCCAGTTTCAGTAGGAGCTGTGCAGCCCGCCTGGGCAGGCGCCCGTGGGTGTCCCCACCCTGCTCTCTCCGTGGAGGGGGCCTGGGGTCTGGTCTCGGCCAGCCACTCCCGGCAGCCTCACCTGAGCGCCGTGTGCAGGGTGGCCTCGGCGAGTGTGGCCTTCCCTTCTTGGCCACTCGGAGCTGCGCCTGTCTCGGCGGCTGCTGGGGTCCTTCTTCCCCTTTCTGCCTCCCTGCTGGACAAGGGCCTCGGGTGTGACCGGAGGTAAAGCCATGAGGTGGCAGCGTCATGCCTGTCCCATTAAGGTTTCTTGGTAAGCCACCCCCTCCTGCATTCCTGAGATGGTTATTGAGCACCCACTGTATACTCAATGAATGCAGTCCCTGCTCTTGTTAGTGGCTACAGCCCAGGAGGAAGAGAAGATATTAAGACAATAATTATATAAATGAAATCTCATTAGAGGTTCACAGCCCAGTAAGAGAGATAGGTCCTTACATAATAATTAGTCCAATTAATGTAGAGTCAAACACTGAGATAACTTCAGCCCAGGAGAGGAACAGGGACGTGCAGGTCCCGTGTCGGCGGGGGCTTTGCCCATCCATCGACTGCTATTTGTGGAGGGTGGCGTGGGGTGGGCAAGGCTGGCAGCTGCGAGACAGGTGAGAAGGCTGCTGCAGGAGACAGGTTTGCACCAACCCGAGTGGAGAGAAGCGAGGACACCCGGGGGGGGCCTGAAATCCCCCTTAACTAGACAGCGAAGTGGACAGACAAACCCTGGCCGTATCCGGACTTGGGGACAACACCCTTCTGCTGTCGTCCTCGGCGCTTCATTTGGAATGTGGACTCTGCTGTGTGCTTTGGCTCGCAGGGTTGGATCAGGGGGCTGCACGTTTCCTTCCTGGGGGGCTAGCTGAGTTTTCGAGGTGCATTCCTGCATGCCGGTGTTGTTTATTTTATCAACACCTTTACGTTTAATCTTCTACCAGTGGGTGGCACTCTGGGGGAGGAATTGCCTCGGGCTTTGTGTGTGCGAGTGGGCGCTGGGCAGCAGAGGGGGCCGTGGGAGGGCGCTGGCTGGGCAGCCGTGGGCCTGTGGGCGGCCGGGCAGGGCCGGGCAGGGCTGGGCAGGGCTCTGAGAACCTGTCCCCAGCTCACACAGCCAGATTCTCAGCTGCTGCCGCTCCTGCTCCAGCCACGCTCACTGTGACTTAGGCCCTGTCCTCGTCCATTTTGTGCTGCTGTAACGGAACACCCGAGACTGGGCAATTTATAGAGAACAGAGACTTACTCCTTGTAGTGGAGGCTGGGGAGCCCAAGGTCAGGGGCCTGCATGTGGCGGGGGCCTTCTCGCTGCGTCTCCCACGGTGGAAGGGGGGGGGCGGGAGAGCAGGCAGGAGAGAAGGATGGAACCCACAGCCTCAAGCCCTCTCGGAATCAGCATTAATCCGCTCACGAGGGTGGAGTCCTCATGACCTTAACACCTCCCCTTAGGCCGTACCTCCCAACCCTATGGCATTGGGGATTAAGTTTCCAGCACCTGCTTTGTAGGGGACACATTTGAGCCACAGCAGGCCCTGAGAATTGTCCTCAGTTCGGGAAAATATTTCAGAACACAGGTGCTGGGTCTTGTGCTCTTCCTCTGTGCTGCTGGTCTTATTCCCGCATCCCTTCCTTGGCTATTTATTGAGCACCTACTATGTGCCAGGCACTGAGCCCAGCCCTGAAGAAGTTAGACAAAGTCCTGGCAGTGGTTCTCAGCCTTGGCTGCATACTGGGGGTGGGGGGGGTGTATTAAAAATAATGGTTGGAAGACTTAAAACAATTTTATTTTTCTAATCCTTCTCTGAAACTGGCATCACACTTGCTAGTGAAACTTGAGTGTGTTCTCGTTTGAGACGCGGTTCCAGGCATGTCTTCAACAGCCACAGACCCCCTCTCCCGCACCCCCGGGGAGGAGCACCCGAGACCCTTCTCTTCCAGACGCCGCACCCCTGCAGTCGCTGTCCGGCCAGATCAGTCTCACTGGCATTCAGGACTCAGTCCTGTCTGTCCTGAGACTTTGCTTCCAAACTCGGTTCTTCCCGTCTCGTCCCTGAGGGGCACCCGGCAGGCCGTGGCCGTGGCTGTGCGTCGGGACACAGAAGGAACGTGGGCTGCTCCCGATTCTCTTCTTCCTTTTCAAAATTCCTCCCCGTCCTCCTTGCGGGTGTGGCGAGGGAGGGAGAGGGGACCCCGTTCCCAGGACGAGCTGCACCCTCGATGGGTTTGGATACCGATTAGGGGCGGTTTCTCTTGCTAGCAGCCATCCGGGCAAAAGAGAAAGAGAAAGTGATGACATTAGAGTGTCACCACTTGCAGCTCCCGTAGTGAAGTCTCCGGTCCGGGCCATGACCTCCAGTGACCGCTAACGTTGCAAGAATACAGCCGGCCGTTACTTCCACCCCAGGGAAGTGCGAGCCACGCTCTCGTGGCATTCTTGCCAAAACAAGCCGTATCTGATCAGGCTTCTGCTCTGAGCCGCCAAGCTATGGGGAATACGGGGTACACGGGAACGTATGCAGTGACAGCACAGGGATGCAATCAGCAAAATCCACTCCAGGAAACTGCAGGACAGCCTGATTTCTTCAGCAAGTCAACTGCAAAGAAAAAGAGAATATACGCGTCTCTCCTGAGATGCACAGAGGATGGGGTGTCTGCACCAACATAAGGGGGGGAGGGTCGGGGGCGTTGGTTGCCCCTTTTTGGCCGGGGTTGTTTCTTGGGGAGGGGGGGGTTGGTTTCTTGGGCCCGGCGGCCGTTTCTTTTTGGGTTGTTTTTTGCCGGGACTTTTCCTTGTTGACCGGTTTTGCGGGCTCAGCCGTGTGTGTTTTGAAGGCAGAGCTGGTTCTCCTCCGGGGCACAGAGCTGCGGCTACGGAGGCTTTAGACGCGACGGGAAGAACCGGAATGTTTTGACATCGTTGAAGCACCAACTTTAACCCATGAACGGGCAACCAAGAGATGCTCAGATAGTTTTCACCTCTCGGGTGTTTCAGACACTTGCTGGAATAAGTAACAGATTCGTAAAAAGAAGTGACAGATGAGGACAGTGAGCCGTGAGACCGCCACACGCAGTCATTGCCTTTCAGGGTCTGCGGTGGCTTGTGCCGGGCACTTTCCAAGAGTAGCTGTGTTTGTTCTTCACAACGGGCCTGTACGGGAGACCTTGTGCACCCCACTTTGTAGAGGGGGAGCTGGGGCACGTGGTGCAGGGTGGAGCAGGGCTGCCAGTGTGGGTGGGCTGTGACTTTGGATCCCTGTTCCCGGCCGTCTGCATTGGCCAGGGAAGCAGCCCCGGGAGGGAGCAGTTGGCCTCAGACAGTCCACCTTCCTCAGTCTGCACGGTTCTTTGCAGGGCATGGCGCAGGCGCACGGGACCCCCCCGCCCAGGGCCGACCCCGGCCAGCCCTGCGTGTTCAAGCTGGTGCTCCTGGGCAGTGGCTCCGTGGGCAAGTCCAGCCTGGCCCTCCGCTACGTGAAGGACGACTTCAGGAGCATCCTGCCCACCGTGGGATGTAAGTGCAGGGGCAGAGGCCAGGGCCGCCGACCCGTGGGTGGGGACGAGGCCTGCCTTGGAGTCCCCACGCTGCCCTGGAGCCTCGGGCTGGGTGTGCCCAGCACACGTGGGGTGGGGGCAGTCGGTCAAGGGCAGGCACATGTGCAGAGTCCGGAAGGATGTATAACCCCCTGGCTTCCCACCAGCCAGCCGGGTCTGCAGGGGTGGAGATTCAGCTCAGGGTCTCTGGCTCCAGAGGGTTGGGTGTGTCAGGGGTTATGGGGTGGGGGGACCCAGCAGAAGCCTCCCAGGCTCCGGCCTCTCCCCCGCCCAGGTCGCCCTCCTGCTAATGCTGCTCCCTTGGCTCATTTGCTTAAAGCACGTCTCCCTTCCCGCCTGGACTCGGTTTACCGGCCCGGCCTGGGTTGGGTTGGGGGACTGTGGCGGGGGGTAGCAGGGAGGGAAGACCCTCTCACCGTGCTGCTTACAGAGACTGACATGTCCCGACTCTCAGATGTGAATGTCTCTGGAGCGCCGTGGGCTGTGGGCACCCGCCTGCCCTGTATCCTCCTGAGATGCCACGTGCAGAGTCCCAGCAGATGAGCTGCCTCCTCCTTCACGCACTCACTTAGCAGTCAGGGTGACGCTGGGCTGTCTGCATTTTAGAGGGAGGGCGCCTGCCCCTGCTCCCAGAAATGCCAGGGGCCAGTGCCCCTTGCCCCTGCCTGGGCTGTCCCAGCCGCCCGCCCTCTCTGTCCCGGGGCCTGGCAGGAGGCGGACAGAGGCTGTGCCCAGGGAGGGTCCCAGGGGGTCTTGGCTTTCGGGGCAGGCCTGGGTGTCTCCTCTCTACTCCTGGTCCTCTGCCTGGCCCCTCAGGGGCTGTCCTCCTGCTGGGTGGCTGGAGTCTCTCCCTCCCCAGGCCTGGGGTCACCCGCTGTCTCCAGAGAGAAGGACCTGTCCCACGGCGGGGCCCTGCCTTGTCCCAGGACCGGAGCTTCGCGTCTCTGCTCCTACCCTGGTGGCCGTGGGGGCCGCAGGCTGGCGCGGGCCTCGGCCGGGAGAGAGCCAGTGGGGCCGAGAACGGAGGGGCTGGCGCTCCTCCTTCATTCACTCAGTCAGCCTCCAGCCCCACGCCTGGCGCTCATTCACCGAGCACCTACTGTGTGCCAGCCAGAGGCTGGGCGTTGGGGGTTCGGCAGGGAGCGAGCCCTCCCTGCCCGTGGGAGCTGGGGCCCCTGGTCTGAGCGTCTGCGTCACACGTGTCCTCACGGGCTCTCCACGGCCCGGTACACGGATGTTACTGTATTATTATAAGCATCATTTTTTTGTTTATTATATAACATAGCTGTAAATTATTAGCTATGTTATTATAGTGATTGCATTAATATATTGCCATATATCATTATAAAGAGTGGATGTTGCCACTCTCCAGAAGGGGAATGGAACAGAATCATTCCTTTAGCTTTTGTGGCTTGGGGAAAGTGGCCTGTGGTGCACACAGACCCTCGAAGGCCGACACTCCCATGTCCTCTGTCGCTAGACACCGGCTTCCTGTGGGGAGGGTGGGGTGCCAGTGCCCTCAGGGCGGCCCAGTGCTTGGTCAGGGGGCGCTTAGTGACTGTGGGGTGGAGGAATGAAAGAACAGAGGGGTGAGGGGCACGGCGCCCCCCGTTCCCTCCACCCGATGGGATGCTTTCCCTGGGAGGAGGGGCTGGGACGCCTTCCTGGCGGGGCTCTCCGGGAAAGGCAGCTGTCACCCTGGGTGGCTTACAGCCGTCACCCTGCGTGCCACCCTCCCTCCCTCCCTCTGTGGACACACACCCCCGAACTCTGAGCGTGAGGACGGGCCGAGGACCCCCCTGTCCAAGGTGGTGCCGTGTCCGCGCAGGGCGGTCCAGGCTTCGGGAGGGCTGCAGGACCCCCGGGTTCCCAGGGCTCTGCAGCAGCGGGGCACGCCACGGGTACTGGGCTCGGTTCTGGGCAAGACGCCGTCCTCCAGAGCTGGAATGTGACAGGCTCTGGTCCCCAGCCGAGAAGTCAGGTGGCTCCCTGGCCGCCACAGGACCGGGCAGGAGTGAGGCGGAGCAGGCCGGGATCCCGAGCGGCTGGTGCAGCTTCCAGCTCAGCTCGGCCCTTGCCTCCCGCCTGCCCCCTCCAGCAAGGCCTGGGTCCACGGCAGGAGGGGGCCTGGCCAGAGCGGGGGGGAGGGGCAGACCTGGGGGGCCCACAGACCGCCCCCTTTGAATCCTAACCGGTCACAGCAGGGGAATTCTGGCCTGAGTCCCTGGGCTGCAAACACCTTCTTAGTGACATCTTCTGGAAGGATGGTGACACCTAGTGCTTGTGTGTGCACTTGCCGATGTCGGGCCCTGTGCAGGAAGGTGACATGCCAGGAGCCGCAGGTGGGAACCTCGTCCTAAGCAAAGCTCCTCTCGCCCCCCACCCCTCTCAGGTGCCTTCTTCACGAAGGTGGTGGAGGTGGGGGCCTCGTCTCTGAAGCTTGAGATCTGGGACACGGCCGGCCAGGAGAAGTTCCACAGCGTCTGCCACCTCTACTTCAGGGGCGCCAACGCCGCGCTTCTGGTGTACGACGTCACCAAGAAGGTGGGGCGCGTCCTCACCCTGCTCCTCCAGGCGGCTGCCCTCTCTTTCCCAGGGGCGGGGGAGGCTCCTCTGAGGGAACCATGGCCGGAGCGGGTGCTTTGTAGTGTAATCACAGCAAGGAATGGGACCAGGACCACGGTAGTGGGCATTGGCCACCTCCTCCAGGGAGCCCTCCTGCCAGCTCCTCCTCCTCCTCCTCCTCCTCCTACTCCACAGCTGGGTTCTGCTCCTCCCTGGTCCTCCCGGAACAGCCCAAACACAGCACTGCTGTCCACCCTCAGTGGCCCCTGAGTGCCGCTGGGCTGGGCCGAGTCTGCACATCTCTGTAACGCTCCTCTGCAGAGCACGTCACCCGGGCAGACACTAAATGCCAGTGAGCACACACGTCAGGCGTGACAAGGGAAGCTGACATGCGGGAGAGGCGGGGACTGGCCGTGCGGGGTGGGGCTGGGCGGTGGCAGAGGGCAGTGAGCAGGGAGGCCTGTGGTGGGGTCTGGGGAGGTCGGGGTGGCAGGACAGGCTGCGGGAGCGCTGGCTTCTGCAGGGTGGGGAGGGGCTGGCCGGGCTAGGGGGGAGCCCCATTACGTGGTCTGCAGGGCTACCGCAGTTAGGGCCAGGATTTGGGGTGGTGGCCACCCCAAAACTCTTGCACAAAGTGACCCTTTGAGGACATCCGGGGTGGAGGCCTTAGGAGCTGGGGCCTGACTGCAAACCCCCCGTGGCCGCCAGTCTCCTGGGCCAGTGGTGGGACAGAGCTGAGGTGTGTCCCGGCAGTCTGCCGCCTGGCTGCACAGGTGGCCCGGGCAGGAGCCGACCTGGCCACCCTCTCCTCAGGGCGGAGCAGCCGGCGGGTCCGTTCGCGGCCAGCTGGATCCCGAGACGTTTCACACAGTGGGACCAGCAACACCTGCCTCCTGCCAGGTGTGGCCGATGAAGGCCACCTGGAAGCTGCGTCCGACACGAGGGTTTCTCTCTCCTAGGAGTCTTTCCACAAGGCCCAGCAGTGGCTGCGGGACCTGGAGAAGGAGTTCCGCCCCGGAGAGGTCGTGGTGATGCTGGTCGGCAACAAGATAGACCTCAGCGAGGAGCGGGAGGTCACGTTTGAGGTACCGCTTGGTGACCCTGTGAAGTCCAGGGAGCAGAGAGTCTGTCCACCTCGGTGTCCAGGCCTTGCACACCTGCACACTCGCAACTGCACCCCCCACACACCTGCACAGTCACACCTGTTCCCCTGCACACTCACAACTGCACACCTGCACACCCACACCTGCACACTCACACACTCACACATGCACACCCCCACACACTCACACCCGTATACCTGCACACTCACAACTGCACACTCACACCTGCACAACCACACCTACACACCCACACACTCACACCTGCCCACCCACACCTGCACACTCACACCTGCACACCCACACCCACACACTCACACCTACACACCCACACCTGCACACCCACACACTCACACCTGCACACCCACACCTGCACACCCACACACTCACACCTGCACACCCACACCTGCACACCCACACCTGCACACACCCACACACCCACATACCTACACCTGCACACCCACACACCCACACCTGCACACCCACACACTCACACCTGCACACCCACACCTGCACACCCCCACACACTCACACCCGTATACCTGCACACTCACACCTGCACACCCACACCTGTACACCCACACACTCACACCTGCACACCCACACCTGCACATTCATAACTGCACACCTGCACACTCACACCTGCACACTCACACCTGCACACCCACACCTGTACACCCACACACTCACACCTGCACACCCACACCTGCACATTCATAACTGCACACCTGCACACTCACACCTGCACATCCACACCTGCACACCCACACACTCACACCTGCACATCCACACACTCACACCTGCACACCCACACCTGCACATTCATAACTGCACACCTACACACTCACACTTGCCCACCCACACCTGCACACCCACACCTGCACACCCACACACTCACACCTGCACATCCACACACTCACACCTGCACACCCACACATTCACATATGGACTCCCGCACATTCACACCTGCACACACACAGAGACACCTGCACACCTATACCTGCATACCTGCACACTCATATATGCACACTCACACACCCACACACTCACCTCCACACCTCCACACATGGACACCCGCACACTCACACCTGCACACCCATATATTCACACCCGCACACCTGCACACTCACACCAGGTTGCCCTGGTGATGCTGTTGGTTATCCATGGCATCTCCCTCCCTACTCCGTTTAGGACGAGGACCGTGTGGGAAGCTGCAGACAAGTAGCTGGTGGGGAGACTTGCACACACGCCAGCGGCCGCCCAAGGAAGGGCTGATTCAGGGCTCAGAGGGGGGCACCTCCAAAGGAGAGGGGCCCCGGCTTCCTTGAAGGCCAGGGAGAGACAGAGAGGTGGCATGAGGATTGTGGAGAATGGGGAGGGCCAGGGACAAAGGGAGACAGTGTCAGTCGGAGCCCGTGGAGGGGCAGCCGAGTTGGAGCCCTCCCTCGGTGCAGGTGGCGGCGGGGCAGGTGGGGCCAGACGGCTGGTGGACCGGCAGGTGCAGACGCACGGCCGTGGAAGTTACTGGCTGAGAAGCTCAGTGGGGATGGAGGCAGGACTGCCACCGGCTCTGTGGGCCCAGGACAGGGGAGGAGTGGCCCCAGGCGGGGTGGCTGCCGTGGGGACCCGAGCCTGTGCTGTGCCCTCGGGGTCCGCAGGAGCTCCTCTTCCTCGGGAGGGGCCCACGCGGGGAGGCCACTGCTTCTCAGCCCCCCTGACTCCTGGCGTGGATGTGGCCTTCCGGTGAACGCTTCTCTCCTTCCTGGTGGTGCGGCGCCAGCTGCTGCTTCCCGTTTCTCCACGTGGGCCCAACCCAGCCGTCAGAACACGCGGGCTCCTGGAGGAAGGGCCCAGGTGGGCTCGGACCAGGCCTCCCCTCCCCCCACCTTCTCGTGCTGCCCCAGGTCTCAGGTGGTGTCTTTGCCGGCGACAGAGCCCACAGGGGCCAGAGCCGTGGGGGCAGGGGGGCCACGTGATGGACGCTCACCTTTGCAGGCTCTGCCCCAGGAAGAACCTGTTCCCGGGAGCCACCTCTCCCCTCTGCCCCTGCCTCGGTCCTGGGCTGGCTTCTCCAGGGGACCATGAGACAGCGCTTGAACAAGACGTGTGGAGGAACCAGGTCTCCACGGCCGCAAGTGTTTCTCGGGTCTTAACACCAACCAGGTGTTCTTCAGAAACTCTCTCTTTACTAAAAAAGCTGGATTTTTGTGGCTGTTTCTCTTAGGAAGGGAAGGAGTTTGCGGAGAGCAACAGGTTGCTGTTTATGGAAACCTCGGCCAAACTGAACCACCAGGTGTCTGAGGCCTTCAGCGCTGTGGGTGAGTGATGGCCCAGGGCAGACGGGGGGCAGGTGCTCCGTGCCACACCCGCCTCCCTGGGTCTCCTTTGCTGGTGGCCGGGACCCAGGAGAATGCCTCCAGGGACTGGAAGGCGCCCAGGAGGGGTGAGGGGGCCCTGGTTCCATGGCTCTGGGCAAAGGTCAGGAGGGGCCCGGACTGCCCTGGCGACTCTCGTCCCCACCCAGCCCCTCCTTCTGCTTCCACAGCCCGAGAGCTCTCGCAGAGGGGCGGCGGGGAGGGCCAGGCTCCGGGCAGGGACGCAGCCGTGGTTCTGAACGAGGGGCCCACAAGGCGGGCCAGATGCTGCGCCCACTAGCAGCCCCCGCTCCAGGAGGGGTCTCGGGGAGGACGCCCAGCCCACGCCAAGTCTTCAGGGTGGGCCCCTGCCAGCTCCAGGTTGATTCTGACTCACGGTTGATGCTGCATCGTCCCTGAGGCCCAGAGGGCCCTGAAGGTTGGCGTCCTTTACAGTAACCACTTCCCAAAGCCAGTGGGGGTTGTCCGGGCAGGATCCGGGGTCAAGTGGCCCCCAGAAGAGTGTCAGCCCAGACGCCACCTGGTTCCGGAAGCCTGTGCCTGCACCATCTGGACTGTCGTACTCTCAGCCGCTTCGCCCTGGGACACAGAGGAATTAAACGGGGCGGAGAGGAAGCAATGATCAGAAAGATAGTTCGATCACCGTGATGGTCGACCACGCCTTGTACCTGGCTTGGGCAGCGTGCTGGCCTGTGGCTGCGCCCACCTGCTGCTGGGAGGCGGGAGAGGCAGGAGCAGGCCAGAGGGCAGAGAGGGAGGCCCAAGCCATCTGCATCTCGGGAAGGACAGCTGGGGGTGGGGGACACGGTCCCCTCCCACTCTCTCCTCCTGGCTGCGAATCTGATGAAGCAAAGTTTCTGTCCAGTTGGCATGAAGATTCGGAGACTTTCAGGCTGAGATGCGAGTTGTACCCCATATGCATTTTTTTCTCTAAAAATTAAACTGCTTTTGACAATCTAACTTCTGGTGAGTTTTTGAGGACAAGGTAGGGCACAGAGCCTGAAGGCTGCTGTTATTCCAGGTGTCTCTGCACGTGTTCTAGGGTCTGGTGGCTGGTGTCACTGCAGGTGTCTCTGCATGTGTTCTATGGCCTGGTGACTGGTGTCACTGAGGTATCCCTGCACGTGTCCTAGTGCTGGTGGCTGGTGTCACTTCAGGTGTCTCTGCACACTTCTAGAGGGACTCACGTTAGTAAACAAGAATGTGGCCCCCGATGGGCACGCCCGTCTCTCTGGACCAGACCTGCTGCCAGATGGTGACACGTCCTATCCCCATCGTGACTGCCTGCCTTCACAGAGAAACCTAGATCCCCGTTCTGGGTGGTTCGTCCCCATGGCGTTTTCTGTCGGGTCTCTCTCTGGTCACCCAACGTGGCAAGGTGGAGGTCTTTCAAAGGTGGCCATTTCTGGGAAGGCGATGTTGGTTTTCATCCTTGCCTCTGGGACTGTGACCGGCAGGTTTGAGCTGTACACAGTGAGACGTTGTCACCACCTGAAAAGGTGGCTGCCGCGTGTCGACCGCAGGGTGAACAGAGGAGAAATGAAAAGCGTCCCTCCCATTCGCTGGTCTTCTCGTCCCCACAGGGCCCGAGCAGCCTGCTCCTCCCGGCCTGCACCTGCTGGATTGCGTGGAGACCACCTGCCCAGCCTCCAGGCTCCACCTCTGGGCATGGGTGGGCTCAGCTGCTGGGACGCACCTCGGCGAGGCCCCCAGATGGCCGTGTGCCCTCAGAGGGCCATGTGCCACCACAGGGCCACTGTGCCCTCCAGGCAGCCCCTCCCCCTCCACGGGGCCTGGGGAGGGCGCAGCTCTGCGGGGCTGGCCGGGTTCTCAGCATCCCAACCACAGTCGCAGCGGCTCCTTCCTAACGAGCCCTCCCGGCGTTGCTGTCCCGGCTGGAGCCACCGCCTGTGCCTGCTGGGCCCCTGGGGACCTGCTTCTGCTCTGGAAACAGCTCAGGTGTCCCTCAGAGTCGGACTTACTGGTGCTTACGTGGTCTCAGAGGAATTCCTCGACTGGCCTGAACTAGATGAGTGCAGACCAGATGCCCACGAGCTCTTCCTTGCCGTGGTCTTCGAGGAAAGCCAAGTGCGAATACAGAAAATAACAGCTTCCTCGAGGGCCTGCTTCCTTGATCTTCACCAAGGCTGATTTCTTCTTAGACAGTTTCGCAGGTAAAACCTGAGGTCTCATGGCTGAGCACCGCAGTGCCCGGCTGCCAGCACAGGGGACCGTCTCTCACGTGGCGATTCCCTTGCAGATCAGGGACGTGAGGGGTGAGTCGCTGGTGTGCTGGGCTGTGTTCTCCCGCCCCGTGCCCCACGGTGGGACCGAGCAGGGCTGGGGACCCTGGGGACCCCTGTGCCTGGCAGGCGGGTCCCTCCCTGGGGCGGCGGAGGCTGAGGCTGCCCGTGTCCACGAGGTGGCGCTCCAGCACCAGTGAGGCAAACCCTCCGCTGTCCCGCCGAGCTCTGAGCGCAGGGCTGGCTGTGGCTGTAGGAAACAGCAAGTGTAGGAGCCGCAGATCTGTGGGACGCTGGAATGCGCGATCACCTGATCGCCCCTCTCCCGTCTTTCACACTCTGTCACAGGCTAGAATTTTTACTACAATGTATCCTTCGGCTTTTTCCATCAGGAATTCTTGTGCAGCCTCTGTGAGCTTGGGTGGCTCTGATGGTCCTGGAGCCTCGGGCTGCCCATCGTCCGGGCTTGTGACTGTCCTTTCCCTCTCCCACACCCAGGCGGGCGGGGCCCAACCCTGCGCTGGAATCCTGCACCTACACCTGCACCCGCACCTGCACTCCACACCTACACCGCACCCCACACCTGCACTGGCATCTGCACCCCACACCTGCATTCCACACCTCCACCTGTACCCCACACCTGCACCCCACACCTGCACCACCTGCACTCCACACCTACGCCTGCACCCCACACCTGCACCGGCACCTGCACTCCACACCTACGCCTGCACCCCACACCTGCACCCCACACCTGCACCGGCACCTGCACTCCACACCTACGCCTGCACCCCACACCTGCACCCCACACCTGCACCGGCACCTGCACTCCACACCTACGCCTGCACCCCACACCTGCACCCCACACCTGCATCAGCACCTGCACCCTGCACCTGCACCCCACACCTATACCTGCACCCCACACCTGCACTCCACACCTGCACCTGCACCCCACACCTACACCTGCACCCCACACCTGCACTCCACACCTGCACCTGCACCCCACACCTACAACTTGCACCTGCAACCCATTCAGAGCTTCTGACCACATGCACCTGCTCAGGGATTTCTAAGCCCTCCTAGGTGGACCTGATGTTTAGGCATGGTCTGCCCAGAGCCTCTGCGAGGGCAGGTTCCCAGTGCTGCCTACAGTGTCTGGCACATAGGCGCTCAACACGTGTGTGTCCAGCAAAAGGACCATGGCCGTGTTTCCCCAGAGAAGGAAAGAAGTGGCAGGCTTCCCAGTACCAGCCTCCCCACGTGTGACACATGCGTGAGGGGAGACTGTGCCATGCGCCCCCCCCATCCCACCCGGTGCGGGTGTGGCGGACGGGGCAACAGGCAGGAGGGCCCAGCCCTGCGAGCACACGGGGATGGAGACCATGGAGACCGGGCTGGCAGACACTCCTGTCACTGATGCTTCAGGGTAAATGGCTCCAGCCCTGCTGAGCCTGAGTTCGGACCTGGCTTTTCCCGTGAGCTGCTGTCGGTGCCCGTGTGGGGAGTGGAGGCGTGGAGAGGTTTACGGGTGACCCGTGGGAGCTCCCTGTGACTCTGATCTTTTCCATTTCTTTTCTTGTTCCTCTTGAATGTGCTCTCATCTAACTCCTCTGGATGGATCCACTTTCCCCAGAGGGGCTGACTCACAGACCTATTATTTATTTATTTTTGAGATAGAGTCTCACTCTGTTGCTGGGGCTGGAGCGCAATGGCATCATCGTAGCTCACAGCAATCTCCAATTCCTGGGCTCCAGCGATCTCCCTGCCTCAGCCTCCCGAGTAGCTGGGACTACAGGCGTGTGCCACCATGCCTGGCTAATTTTTCTCTTTCTTGTAGAGATGGGTCTTGCTTTTGCCCAGGCTGGTTTCGAACTCCTGGCCTCAAGCTATCCTCCCACTTTGGCCTCCCAGAGTGCCAGGATTACAGGTGTGAGCCACTGCACTTGGCCAGACCTGTTCTTTTTCTTTAAAAATTTATATCTTTCTTGGGGGGGGGTGTCCCACTGGCCAAATTTAGGACAATTCGAGCATCAAAAATTATTTATTAGGAACTGAGAAAAAAAAGGAAAAAAAAAAGATACCTTCTTCTTTGGCAGAATCCAGCTGACAAATGTGGAGGGAATTAGAGTCACCACGTGTGACCCAGAGTGTCACAATTGATCCCGGCAAGCGTGGTCACTGGATGCCAAACCCTGGGGTATGGGCTGGTTGGGAAATGGGATATGGCCACGGGCCCGGGCCCCCCACAGATGCGTGTTGATCGCACAAGGAGCAAAACCCTCACCGCTGAGAGCTGCCTGGACCACACGGTCAAGCTCAGTATGTCGGCATGCAGCTCCGGTCTCCCTTCCCTGGACGGGAAGCAAACGAGCCAGGAGTCTTGTCTTTGAGCACGAAGGGAGGCAAAGCGGAGAAGAGGACCGGCGGGTGCCTGGGGTTGGGGCGAGGTGTTGTTGCGGTGGCGGGGCCGGGGGGGTTTTTTGGGCGCGGGGCGAGGCTTTTTTTTGGGGGGCGTTGGGGTTGGCCCCCCTTTTCCTTGGTTGTTTTCCAACCCCCCGGGCGTTGCGGCCCCGGGGTTGGGCCCGTCGGCCCCTTTGGACCCGGGGGTTTTGGGTTGGCGGGTTGGGTTCTTGGCTTTTGCCACCGTTCCCTTTTGTTGGGGCGTTTGTTACTTTGGGGGGGGCGTTTTGCTTTTGGGGCCGGGGTTCCTTGGGAACCTTTTGCCTTTTTGCCCGTTTTTGTTTTGCCCTTACCCTTGTTTTGAAAATTAAGTTTTTTAAAAAACGTACTGGGGCTTAGAGAGGGACCGGGCTCAGGCTGGGGTCTGCGCTGCCCTCCTCTGGGGATGGTGTCCCACGCAGGGTGGTGCCTGGCAGCCCCTGGCCCGGTGCAGTGCACAGCCTGGCCAGCCATTCAGGGCGGCCTGGGTATGGGTATGAGGTATGGGCTGCAAATGACCAAGGGGAGCCCCCGCTCCTCTACTGAGTGCCGGGGGCCCTCGGGCAAGTCACAGAGCCTCTTCTTTCCTAAGAGACTGCTGTGCCCCGAGTTTCCTTGTAGGCTAACAGCCCAGGAGAGAAAACACCTTCCGAGTCATCAGTACAACTGTAGATGTGCAGCTAGACACAGCCGTGCTTTTATTAGGAGGAGAGGAGAGGGTGGGGTAGGGAAGGCTCCGGAGTCATTTTCTTGACGAGCTGGCGGTCACCCGACCTGGGAGGACCTAGCACGGCCTTCCAGGTGGAAGCAGGCTGGCCGGGGTCGCTGGCCAGGCTTGGGGACAACCCCCAGGGCTGCCCTCCTCCGGCCGAAGCGGCCCACGGGCCTGATCCCAAGGCCCCTGTACCAGGCAGGGTTGATGTCGGGGGCTGGAAAAGAAAGAGCGAGAGTGGCCCACGGGGCTGGTGGGCCCAGGGCGTGACTGTGCTCCCAGGGGTGGCAGGGCGGGTGCCCATGCTCAGAGCTCCCCGAGGGGTCTCTCAGCTGGCTGCTGCCCGGGCACCAGGCCACGCCGGGACTCCCCCAAGTAAGGAGCGCCCCGAGGGTCTGGCGAGGCCGTTTCTGGGCGTAGGGGTGGCTTCGGGAAACAGGAAGTCGAAAGCACACCAGGATCGACCTCCCTTTCCTACCCCTACCCACCCCGGTTCTCCTGTGGGGGCCGTGTTGGGGTGGCGGTGGGGAGAGGGGGCGCCAGGCAGGCACTCACCGCGGGTCTCCATGGAGAGCTGGCGGGCGCGGCCCGCAGCCGCCCGCAGGGCCAGGCCCAGGAGCAGCAGGCACAGGAGCCAGGCCCTCGGCGCCTTCATCTTCCTCGCTCCTCAGGCGAGGAGGGTGCCGTCTGGGGGCCGAGGGCGGGAGTGACATGAGGCAGGGGTGAGGGTGCGTGTGCACAAAGCTGGACCTTGGCCATGTGCACGCTGCATGTGTGTGCACATGTGTGCACACATGTGAGGGCGAGGCCTGTGCGTGTTCACGCGTGTACCGGCGCGCTATGCATGCACCTGTGCACGTGACAGAGCGTGTGTGGGTGCGTGTGCACGCAGCCGCACCTCTGCGTGTGTCCCTCCGACCTGAGCAGGTGAAGCTGGCCCCCCGCCCCCTGCCCTCCCTGGGACGCGCTCTCTGCTCCGCACGGTGAGGGTAAAGCCAGATGCTCGCGTGCGTCAGCCCTGGCGGGCTGCGCCACATCTGCCCCGACCCCCGTCACCGGGAAGGCCGGGAGGAGTGAGCTCCGCGTGGACAGAGGTGGGCTGTTCTGGAGCAGCCTGGGGCCCGCGTGCCGTCTGTGCCGGGGAGCCGGAGGTGCGGCAGGCTCTGATGGCCGCGCGTGCGTGCTGCGCACCAGGCGAGCAGGTCCGCGAGGAGCTGGTCCCAGGTCCCAGGGAGCCCAGCAGTGCAGGTGTAGTTGGGGGGTTAGGGGGGGGCTGAGCCTGGAGTGGGCGCAGGGGCTGGGACCCCATGCACGGTTCTTTCCCAAGCTCATCCCAGGGTCCCCTGACGCCATCGCTGCCCTGCAGGACGGCATCAGCGGACAGCCAGGCGTTGTGACGAGCCTGCATCCTCCGTCCTGACCAAGCCCGCTCGCCCTCACCGCAACCCCAGACCCAGTCTGCTGGGGCTCCAAGACAAACCCGCGGCGCCCGGGACCTCTCCTCGCAGGGCAGGACCAGCCCCCTCCGTGAAGGCGGAGGGGCTGCCGTGGACGCAGGACCCGGGGGCCCAGCTCGGCCCAGCTGGCGTAGAGCCCTGGCCTGCCGACACAGCGTCCGCTCTGCAGACCTGGCAACCCGTCGCAGGTGACCCCTGTCCTGCTCCACCCTTGGCTCCTCAGGTGCCATGGAAGACGCCCAAGAGCCCCGTCTGTTTCAGGGGAGGACTCCGCCGGCCTCGCCGGCCCGGCCTCTCCCAGAGCCCCAGGGACAGTGCCGTCCATCAGAGCTGCTCAGAACAGCCACTGTCTCCCCTGCAGAGCCCCTCGGGGTGCGCCACTCGGGCCGGGGTCCCTAGCGAGAGGAAATGAAGGTGCCCCACTGAAGCGTAACAAAGAGATGCATCCGGACGGGCCGGCGGTGTCCCCTGGGCCAGGACCCTCGCTCGGTGAGGGCACCTTAGGGTGTTAGCCTTGCAGCCTTGCTGGGCTCCTGCTTCCCTGAGAGTTGGGGGGTGTCGCCGCCCCCCCAGTGGGGTTTCCAGTCCGCACTGAGGACACTGGTGAACGGGAGCCTTTGTCTGCCTCCCCCACCGTGGACGGGGTCGGAGAGCAGGGGCCGGGGGGGCGGGGGCAGGGTGGCCCTGGACTCACGACCCCCGGGACAGCTGCCACAGCCCGTCCTGCTCAGGGCCGGCCCGGCTGCCAGGAGGCCGGGTAGGGCCGTAGGTGAATCCCGCCCCACGCCCAGGTGCCCCGAGGGTTTCCACGCGGGGTGTGCTACTCACCCCAATCTCCTTCTCCTGAGCGTGGCCGCGTGCAGCGGGGCCGGGCGGGAGCCCCTCCTTCCTTTTATAGCCCTGAGGAGGAGGAGGAGGACGCGGCCCCCAGAGCCCTCCCCAAGCCGCCTGTCGTCCCTGACCGCACCACCTCCCACACCGGGCCGCGTCAGGAGAGAGAGAGAGGCCTTTATCTCTTTCTCTCTCCTTTTTTTTTTTTTTTTAAAAAAAAAAACTCATCAGCGACTTGATTTGTTCCTTCCTGGATTATATAATTTCATTTGGGCCAAGTGGTTTTAAAACACATTAGCCTCCCTTCTCTGCGCTGGCCTTCGGGCATCGGCGTCAAGTGTCCCTGTCCCTGCGCCCGGGCCTTAACGCAGCAGGTGTCCCTGCGGGTCCTTCCCGCCCCTTCCTCCCCGCCTGTGGTCACGGTGCGCAGGGGAAAGGGGTGCGCAGGGGAAAGGGGAGCAGGAACAGGCAGGAAACTGAGCACGGCGCTCGCTCCACGGCCCGGCTCAGCCCTGTTTGCTCACACCGGCTCTTTCTAGCTACCCTGACCATATGCAAACCATTTTCATCCTCAGGCTATGATTTATGTTTTTTTCCAAGGCCTTTACAGTCTTCATAACTAGCACACAACATAGACAAGTTTATTATTATTATAAGGCACGTTTATTTTTTATTATATAAGCAATTCCTATGTATTTGGAAAAAAATTTAGTGCATGCAAAATATTTAATGTTAAAAAAAAATCACTGATAATGTCAAAGACACCAGTCACTTCCCACGTTTGATGTATTTCCTTTTAGTGAGTTTCCCGTGGATTTTCTCGGTAGATTCACCACACTTACACATGCTGAATCCCATTCTTTTCACCTAAAATAGTCATGTCCTCGAGTTGTTATAAATTATCTATATATTTGTGCCATTTTAAATAACTGTGCAATAGTCTACCATTTAACTTGGAATATGGAATCATTCATATTCTTGGATCATTGTAGATTATATTAAAGGTCATTTAAGTGAAGTTGAGTATAATTTTTTTGTTTTGTTTTTTAGAGACAGGGTCTTACTCTGTCGCCCGGAGTGCAGTGGCACAATCAGAGCTCGCTGCAGCCTCGCACTCCTGGGCTCAGGATGTCTTCCCACCTCAGCCTCCCGAGTAGCTGGGACTACAAGTGTCTGGCCATTTTTTTTTGTTTTTTGGTAGAGACAGGGTCTTGCTGTGTTGCCCAGGCTGGTCTTGATCTCCTGGGCTCAAGTGATGCTCCTGCCTTGGCCTCCAAAAGTGCTGTGATTACAGGTGTGAGCCACCACACCTGGGCGAATATAATCTTCTTAAGGGAACTATCTGGAGAGGAAGCAGCAGGTGCATCCCTTGGATTCTCGCAGACGGGCAACGTGCCATTGACTGCACCCCACTCAGACTCTGAGGAAAAGCTCCAGGGCAATGCTTCACCCGTCGTTCGGGGACTGGGTCATGCGTGATTCTCTTTCTCTCTGCACGGCTGCCTGTTCCTGGCGGTGCGGGAATTGGCAGGTGGGCTCCCTGGGACATCTGTGGTCCAGGGGTGGCTGGGAAAGGGGGCAGAAGGGTAGGGGCCCTGGAAGGTGGGGCACAGGGTCCCTGCCTCAGGCTGCAGATTAGTCACTGGGAAGCTTTAACAACGTTCCAGTGCCTGGGCTGTGCCTGGACAAGTCCCACTGGAATTCCACCGGGCACCAGCGACACGCAAAGCTCCCCAGGTGGCTCTAGCAGATACAGGGCGAGTATCCCAAATCCAAAACCCAGAAATGTGAAATGCTTCAAAATCTGGAACTTTTTGAGCCCCGACATGATACTCAAATAAAGGGTCATTGGAGCAGTTTGCATTTTCAAATTTGGGATGTTCAACTGGTAAGTATAATGCCGACATTCCATAATCTGAAAAAATCCCAAACTCGAAACTCTTCTGGTCCCAGGCATTTTGCATAAGGGATGCTCAGCCTGTGGTGGCAGCAGTGATGGCTGTGGTAGTGTGGCCTGCCTGCGAGGCGGGTCTCTGCCCAGCACGGGAGCCGCCCGGAGCAGTGGGGACTGAGCCCCGGGGGAGGCAGCTTCCTGGGCATCACCACTGGAGTGTGTATGGTGTATATTTGTGTGTGTTGTGTGTGCATTGCACGTGTGTTTGTGTGTATGGTGTATGTGTGCATTGTGTGTGGTGTGTGTAGTGTGTGTGTGCTGTGTGTATTGTGTATGTGCATTGTGTGTGGTGTGTGTCCACTGCACGTGTGTTTGTGTGTGGTGTGTGTGCATTGTGTGTGCATTGCACATGTATGTGTGGTGTGTATATGTGTGCATTGTGTGTGGTGTGTGTAGTGTATGTGTGTGTGGTGTGTGTATTGTGTATGTGCATTGTGTGTGGTGTGTGTATTATGTATGTGTGCATTGTGTGTGGTGTATGTATTGTGTATGTGTGCATTGTGTGTGGTGTATTATGTGTGTGCTGTGTGTATTGTGTATGTGTGCATTGTGTGTGGTGTGTGCATTGCACGTGTTTGTGTGTGTGGTGTGTGTATTGTGTATGTGTGCATTGTGTGTGGTGTGTGTATTGTGTATGTGTGCATTGTGTGTGGTGTATTGTGTGGGGTGTGTGCAGTGTGTGTGTGCTGTGTGTATTATGTATGTGTGTAGTGTGCTGTGTGTATTGTGTATGTGTACACTGTGTGTGTATATGTGTGTGTGTTATGTGTATTTTGTATGTGTGTATTGTGTGTGGTGTGTGTGTATGTGTGTGTGTCTGGAGGAACTTAACAGTGGTTGCTGGTTGGTAGATGATTCTTTTTCTTTTGTTTATCCTCTTTTTTTTGCATAACTATCTTTTCTGTTTTATCCCAATAAAATAAAAAGATATTTCACATGTAATAAAAATTCCCCATAGGAATAACTTTGGAGATATGAACATTGTGAGTACCAGCAAAGATTACCGGGCTCCAGCCGGAGTGCTGAACGTGGACAGCTGGGGTCCCTGAAGCCAGGCATGTGACAATTCCATTACACCTTCGGGGATGGGCTATTTGGCTCCCAGGAAAGCAGGTTCTTTTGGATAGAGTTGCTGGCAAGTGACAGTCCTTGCCACTTACTGAAACAGTGGCTTGACGGGAAATCATGGTAAACACTGCCAGACTCGAATGCACGGTTGGCTTGATCTCTGATGAGAGCTGGCGCCACAGCCTGTCAAACTGAGCTCTGCTCTGACCACGAGCAGTGAGGTGAGGCGTCCGCTGGTGACCTAGGGGCTGGACGGCACCATGTCAGACATTAGATTCTCTGGGCAGAGCAACTCACCGTGCTGCAGGCTCAAAGCTCACTCCTAACCGTGAAGCATCTTTGGGAGCTCTGTGCATTCAACTCTTCTTAAAACTTCTTCTTTTTTCCCTGACAAAGAAGACTGCTGGAGAATCATACTTCACAGAAATCTTTTAAATGCTTGTCTCTCGACTCCGTCTGGAGTCACAGTGAAACCCCTGGCTCCTGCCGGCAGCTGCACTGCTCGCTGTGTCCCGGCCTTGGCGGGCCCTGGCCTGCTGTGTGCAGCTTCCCCCGAAGCCGTCCCTAAGTAGCCATCTGCTGGGAGAGGAGCTCTGAAGAACTCTTTCAAAGGATGGAAGTTATAAACAACGCTGGGAGTTGCATGAAAAAACCCCCGCCTTCTTATCTGATGCCACAGTGTGCGCTCACACATCTCCTGAAGACTCGGGCGTCTCCCCCACCCGGCAAGGCGCTCTGGGGTTTGAACTTTGGTTTTGGTTTTGACTGAGGTGTGGGATTCAGACAGCGCAGGAGACCCTTAACTTGGTCGACGCTTGGAGACACAAGGCTGGACCCTGTCTCTGCTACCTGCTTGATTCCGAAGGAAGCTGTACCCAGCACGCGGGCCTCCACCCAGGGCCCTGTCTGGGGTGAACCTCAGCGAGGGCGAAGGTGCGGTCACCGCTATGATGTTCAAAGGCAGCTCTGGGGAGTCCCCGAGGGCTCCCCTGAAGACCAGAAGGGCCACACAGACATCCAGAATTAACTCCCAGTCCCTGACTGGCCGAGGCGGAGGGCTCAGAGATCGCCTGCGCAACCCGTGGCAAGTGGCTGGCTGATTTCTGCCACCCCTCGCACCCCCACCCGTGGCAGATGTCACTGATTGGTCCTGACCTTCTGTCCTCTGTCCCACTGGGCCCACTGTAGTGAGTGGCAGAGCCAGGCGGGGACCCAGGTCTTCTCCCTGCCTGTCCAGGGCTGCGTCAGCCACCTGTCCCAGCAAGCCCTCTGCACCTGCTTCCGGGCACAGAGCAAATGCTCACTCGCTACCACGCGCATGTGCTACCCTCCGCGCAGGGAAATTTCTCCCCATTTGTGGACCCCAGGGAACTTGCAGAATGGGTGTGTGTGGCGTGGGGGGCTGGGGGTGTCTATTCTGTCCTCATTTTGCAGCTCATTAGTTCAGTCACTTGTCTTGATGCCTGACTTCCAATCACACCCACAGGAAATACACACACAGCTGCCCACACTCAGACACAGATGGTCAAGAATAGACACGTGGCTGGTGCCCTCATAGTCTTCTCTTTCCCATCCCGTTCACGGAAAGCAACATACCAAAGCCCAGAGTGAAAGGGGTGAAAGAGCGAGTGGAAAGGGTCTTCTGTGTGTCCTTCAAAAAGTTTAAACAACAGTGTCCTAAAGTCACGCCAGCTTAGCTACTTCTCGTATATCAGAAGGCTGACGGGGTGGCCGTGGAAGTCGTCAGTGAGCCTGGGTCAACAGCAAAGGACTGAGAGCTGCTGTCATTTTGCAGGTGGGAGTCCACGCAGCCAGGTGTTCCTTCTCACAGGTGGGGGTCCATGTGGGCAGGTGTTTCTTGCTGTAAGGTGACCGTGGATAGCAGGAAGTGCAGAGCCAATGAGGGACATGGTGGCGGTGGTAGAGGGCCAGCGAGTGCAGGGCGACCCTGCCTCTCTGCCCTGCCCCACGGCCTCCCCGTCAGTGCTGGTGGGCCATCACGGGTTTCTGCGAAACACAGACACATATGCACATGTAAGTGTGCACAGATGGGCATGCACACAGATGCATGTGCATGCACACAAATACACAGGCATGTAACCGACACACATGGGCACACATGAAGAGACATGCAAACACACAGGTGTGCACATGGATGTGCACATAGGTAGACACAGACTTAGATTATATGGGTGCACACACACACAAGTGTGCATGCAGATCTACATGGGTATGCACATAGAAACACAGGCGAGCACACAGAAACAGGTAACACACAAGGGTGTGTACACAGAAACACATACACAGGCCTGTACACAGATGGATACAAAGTCAGATATGAGAGGATGCCCCTGGCACGCGCACACACACATACACACACACACACATACACACATGGGAGCATGCACAGCCACACGCACACATATATGGACACACTGGTCAAATGCTTGTGTTTGCTTTTTTCAAGGCATCCGTCAATATCCCCTGGATTTTTCAGTAACTTCTCTCTGCCTCTGTTTCCCCAGCTATGAATTTGAGTCAGTGACACTGGCTCTTGTCCTATGGGTATGTGGATGGAAAGTATTTGAAAATTGAAAGCTCTAAAGCACTAGAAGACATTACTCTTATTTCAAAGCACTTAGATTTTCAAGTCCCCGTTGGCAAGATTTTGCTTTGAATCTCTGGCTTTAATTCTTGCTCGTTTGCCCCAATTTTCTTTACTCTGAAGACTCACTATCTACATGCAAACCTTACAGGTGATGGAATTTTAAGGGATCCCCAGAAAACGAGAGGCGACATTACCGCAAAGACGTGGTTGGCGGCTCCCTTCCTCCCGCTGGGGTTTCTCTGGGTCAGGGAGCCGCGGTACGCGGATTTCCGATCGAAGGAATCATCGTCTTCACCTTTGGGGAGGACAGAACAAGGGAGGCGCGTTTATGAACCACAGACCTTCCCCACACGGCACAGAGGGCTGGGGAGGGCAGTCAGGTGTGTCTGGACTTGCGAGCCGGGACCCGCAACCAGCGTCTGCCGGAGGCGTGTGTGGTCCCACAGGAGGGAAAGCGCGTCGCGGGTGGCGGAGGAGGGGCAGGCTGGGCTCCCCGTGGACACGCGGCCACAGTCTGCGGGGCTGTGCTGGGACATCCCCCTTGGTTCTGCAGCAGCTGGGAGCCAAGGGCTGTTGTGGGGGGCGGGGGGCACAGAGAGCTGCCCGGGGCCCGTGGCGGGGTGTGAATGGGGCAGAGGGTGCGAGGGCCCGGCTCAGACGCGGGGATAGCAGGGGGGCACGCGAAACACTCGTCAGCGAGCGCTGGACTCTGAACAGCGACGGGAGCTGCTGGCCTCCGGCGAGCCGTGGTCAGGCCACAAGGTGAGCCGTGACAGCCGGCCACGTGTGGGGGGCCGGGAGCCCTCACATCCCATCTGTCTGGGACAAAGCTGATGTCCTGGTCACCACCTGGACTTTAAGGAAGGCTAAATGATGTCCCGTACTTTCCGTAAGAAGGCCCGGAACTGTGTACATGTTAGGACAATCTACAGGGAAAACACAGCCGCCACCACCACCACCGACTTCTCACCCTTGAAGCACCAAACTCCTGTCGTCGGGATCACTAACTCCCGGGCCCCGAGGGTGACCGAGGGTCGCCGAGAGTGTTCTCCAGGAGTCAGGACACGGCAGGTGTCCCACAGATGACAAAGAAATTCACGGAACACCCCCACCCCCTTTTCCCGGGCCTGCAGGGGTGAGGGCAGCAGGTGGCTCTTACCTGGACCTTTTGGGGAATTAGCGAACTTTCTCCTTAGAAGATAGGGCGCGGCTGTTGCCTAGAAGAAAGAGAACGTCTCCAGATGTCATCAGATTGTCGTAACGTTTAGAAACTCTGTGGGCCAATTGGGGATTCTTATTGCTCTTCCAGATTCTAATGAACCAGGTCACGGTCTCTGTTCTCTGGCACTATTTGAACTTCTAACAACACCAGCACCTTTTCAGTGCACGAAGCACCAAATGCCCGAGCATAAGAGAAGCTCAGCTTTGGGGGAACTGCCAATGTTGGGTGGTAGCGGGGAGAGAGCACATATTCCCGCCTCACGGATCTGGGTTCAAATCCCAGTGCTACCCCCTTAGCACTGTGAGACAGGGACAAGTAATCCACTTATCCTCTCCGAACCTCAGTCTCCTCCCCTGTAGAATGGGCCCGTGGCCCTCTTTAAGGGGATATTGGAAGATTCATCGCGTCTAACACACTTCCCAGCTCCCCGCAGCTGTCAGAACCACACCTCTCCTCTCTTCCAGTCTATCACCTCCTGCAGTGGGATAAATCATTCTCCGCTCCGCCTTTTCCAGGTGTGGAGAGAGCCAGTGGCCCAGTCGCCCTAGAAGTTCTTCCCAGCGTTTGCCCCTCGGGGTTTGCCCGTCTGGTTTTGTGGGCTGCTCAGGCAGCTGCGGAAGCCTTCAGGGCTGGGCTCCCCAGGATGAAGGAGGAAGCGCCACGGCCCCGTGGAGAGTGGGGTCAGGGCCAGGGGTCAGGGCTGAGCCCCACTGCCCCTTCCTGTCTGTGAGCTCGATCAAGCGCATCCACCTCCCTGAGCCTCAGTTTGGCCGTCAGTACGACAGGGCCAATAGCACTGCCTGCTCGCCCGGCTTCTAAACTGCAAACGCAATGATGCGCATTAAAGAAGCACAGTTTATAACTATGGTGAGCCTAAAAAGGGCAAGTGGCCACGTGTGCGTTATGGCTCCCGGCGGGTATCCCGGGTGCAGGCAGGACCCGGAGCTGACGCCCACTCCTCCTGGGGCGCCGGCGCCTCATCCTACTCCTAACCACTCCCCAATATGCAGGAGCTCTCCTCCATCCCAGGCTGGCTCCTGCCTCTCTGTGCGGCGTCGGGGCGTGTCCTGCCCATGCTGCCCGCGTGTCTGCCCACTGGCTGCTGCGTGTTTGCACTTCCAGCAGCCCCTGCCTGCCCTCCGGGCGGAAGGAGGAGCCCGGACCCCCGGAGCCCTCTGTGCCTGGTGCAGGACGGGGCAGGAGTGCCCGGGCATGCGTGCCTCCCAGGGCCTGGCCCCTGCCCATGGCTGAGGCTGCCTGGCTGCCGCGCCCCGGAGCGGGGCAACTCCGGGTCAAGGCCCACACTGACCCCAGAGCTCCCCGAAGGACGGAGCCAAGGTCAGCCCACCCGGGGCTGCTCCATGCCACGTCTGCTGGCCGCCTGCCTTGCCCATCTCCCTTTCCCATTCCGGCACCGGCTGCCCCGGGTTTCCCCGACAGTGGCTGCCCCACACGCCCGTCCCAGCGCGAGCCACCAGGGAGGCCAGCCCACGGAGCGGCCACGTCCTCTGTGTGGGCATCTCAGCCCTGCCACTCCACGGACTCGCCTTCCTCCCCTCCTCGGGCGGGCTCCAGGGCGTGGCGGGAATGGCACATACCTTGACCTCGTCGGAAGAGCCTGTGTCCGGGTCCTTCGCACTCTTGCCACGCTTCCCGGCAACCCGGGGGAGAAATATCTGGGGGACAAGGGAAGAGCTGCCAGGTTATTGCTGCCCGTTTGACACCCAGCCACAGGGCGGATTGTGGGAGTGGGCCAGTGACACGCAAGGCCAGGCGTTCTCTGCAAACGCTCGGCCGGGAGCGCGGGGCGGCGCGTCAGCCCCCGCATGCCACGCCCGCCCGCCCGCCCGGGCTCCGGGACTAGGGCTGCCAGGCTGCGAAAGCTAAAATTTAGGACACCCAGTTACTGTTGCATTTCAGATATGCAACAAACACATTTTGTTAGTGTGAGTACTTCCCAAATGTTGCATGGGATATACTCATAGTAGAAAATTAGTTGCTGTTTATCTGAAATTCAGATTTCCCTGGGCATCCCGTATTCTACCTGGCAGCCCTAATCTGGGACTCTGCTGAGCACATCTTTTATTCTTTTGCCAAATATCCTCAGCACTGTGCTTGTGTCTGAAGGTTCCTGAGTGGAACCAGGAGGGAGGATGTTGGCCGGGGGTCTCTGTGAGGAGGGCAGGTCCCTGGAGGCGTGTCCCCCGTCTGGCCTGGTGGCTCCCATGGTGGGATGGCAACGTCTCAAGCCTTTCGACACCAGGTGTGACCCTTCAGGCCACTTCTTGTGCGTGTTAAACTGCGCACATGTGCGTGTTTTAGCTGGGGGCTGACGGGCCCTCAAAGAGAGCTTCCTCCATCCGAAACACAGACAACACAGAATCTCCGCGTAGCCATCATTCGCTCCTAGGAAACCCAGATGGCGGCTCAAGGGGTGGGCAGGCGGCCGGCCCGGGGCTCCGGCTCTGAGATCGGCGGCAGGTGCCGTGCGGGGTAGGGTCCCGGGAACACACACCCGCCGGGCGCCGCGGCCCCCACTCACCGGGAGGCTGGACTTCTTCCGGGCCTTTCCCGACGGCCTCACTGTGAGCCCCGCGGCCCTCAGGGCTGCGATGCGGGATTCGATGTCTGAAACCTGAGAGATGCAGACAGACACACACGCTTGTCCGGCTCCAGGTCACGGGACAGAAAGAGCAGCTGCTTCTGGGTCACTCACGACGCTAATTTCACTCGTGTTTTCCCTTAAGGGTGGCGTCCAGCCCCGCCCCTCCCGCGGCTGTGCGGGGGGGTGGGGGGCTCCCTGCGGGTCACCCAGGCAGGAGGAGGGCTCTGTGCACCTTCTGGAGGTGTGTCAGGAGGCCCGGGTCCCATCAGGGCCCGAAGGCGGCCGTGCCTGGGGAAGGGACCCCAACACCCCGCTGTTCCTTACCACGCACCCCGCCTCAGCCCCACGGGCACCGCCCTAGCCCTGGCCCTCCTCTGTTCCCAGGACGCTCCTCCCACAGAGGCCAGAGGAAGCTTCTGGAAACAGAAGGCCCCATCGATCACCCTTGCCCAGGTCCCTCTCTCTGTGGCTCTCTGCCTCCTCCCAACCCTGCCCTCAACACTCTGCTCCGGTGTCAGGTTTCGCTGCTGAGCTTGAGGCCACCCCAGGGCCTCTGCACCTGCCCTTCCCTCCACCTGGACCCCGTCCTCTAGATCTGCCACACTGGCTTCTTTTCCTAGTGTCCCTCCCGCCACCTCTAAGCCCCCCACCCCCAGCACTCGAGGGGTCACCCTCACTTAGCGTCATCTTAGCCCTGTTCATGAACGGAAATGGTCTTGTGTGTGTGTTGTCTGCCTCCTTCCACTAAAATGTGAGCTGCACGGAGGCAGGGCTCGGTCTGAGATGCTCACAGCCGTAACTTCTGTGCCCCACACGATGCCGGCTGGCCCCACGGGAGGCATTCGAAAACTCTTTGCAAAGCCAGAGGGAATGAAAGCCCCTGAGCCGGACTCACTCCCCGTGACGTGAACGGCTCTGGGGGCCGTGCCCCCCCCCCCGAGGGAGTGCCAGGCACCTGCCGACGGGACAAGCGGGCAGAAGGGCAGTGGGCGTTGGCCGTTTTGCAGCCCGAGGGACAGACCCTGCCTTCTGCGTGGGTCTTGGGGGGTGGGGGGGGACACAGCAGCACCCACCTCGCCTTGGCTGTCCCAGGAGGCCCGAACGCTTGGCTCTGTCCTTTGACCCCTGTACACTATGGGCATGTCCGCCACCCGGACTCTAGCTCTGCAGCCACAGCGGAGGCAGGCGAGTCCCCCAGGGACCCCAAACCCGTGCTTGGCCTCCACAGACATGCACACTGGCACACTGGGCCGACGGGGCTGGGGGGCTCTGTGTGAGCCCTCAACGGCCTGGTCACAGGCACCTCTATCTGTGCAGACACCCCTGCTCCCGTGGTCCATGGGGCTGCCTCGCTCTCCGCCTGCTCTACCTCAGACGCCGTCAGGGACACTCTGTCCTCCAGCTCCGACAGCTCCTCGTCTGTGGTCCTGTTGTGCCAGGCGGGGTCCCCGCGGCCCTGAGGGCTGGCGTCCTGTCCGTACGTCTGGCCTGCCGCTGTGCACCCCTAGGAGAGAGATGCGCCCACTGGGCTGACCGCCAGCCAGAGGGCGCACTCGGCCTCGCGCTGTGCTCCTGCGCGGACTGGGGGAGCTGGGCGGCCGGAGCTGGCCACCCCCGAGGCTCTGGTCAAGGGCCCTTTGTGCCCCCCGGGGTGGCCACCCTCCTGCCTGGGGAGGGCGGTGGCTTGGCTGCAAACCGCTGGCTGGCTGGGACTGCCCGTCCCCGCCCCTGCCTCTGCTGGGCCCCCCCGAGAGCCCTGGGGGTGGCCTCACCTCTGGGCCCACCAGGGTGAGGGCGCCGCTGCTGTCTGGCTCTGCCCCTTCCTCCTTGCCCTCCTCTTCCTCAGTCGAGGCCCCCTGGTCGCTGACGTTGCTGGTCAGCTCCTCCAGCTTCCGCTTCAGCGTCTCCAACTCTCGGTCGGCGTCCGTGTGCGCCCCAGCGGTGGGACTCTGACGGGACACGCGGGGGACCCCGGTCAGCGTCTGGGGCCGCGGGGAGGTCACAGGCGGGGAGGTGCATCCCCGCAGCACCCCCGAGGGGGGCCCTGCCGGAGCCACCATCCCCGTCCCTTCTCTGCGTGAGCTGGTCCCAAGTGCCACCGCCCGGCCCAGCCAGAGTCAGGCTCCCTCCTCGGGGCTGGGGGCGTCCCGGGGGTGCTGGCCCCTACCCCTGGCTAGCTCAGACCCACCGTTTTCTTTGGCCTTCTCTTAACATTTATTTACTGTGGAAAAATACACACACAAAATTGTCCGCCTTAACCATTTTTAAGTGCACAGTGCAGTCGCCTTAAGGACATTCACACAGTTGTGGGACCGTCACCGCCGTCCACCCTCAGAGCTCTTCACCTGGTGAAGCAGACGGTCCCCACCAATCTCCAACCCCGGTCCCCGCCCTCATCCCCGGCAGCCACCGAGCGACTTCCTGTCTCTGTGACCGTCACGCCTCACGTGAGTGGAATGACACCGTGTTTGTCCTTCTGTGACTGGCTCGGTCACTCAGCCAGCCCTCGAGCCTTCTCCAGGCTGAAGGGGGTGTCAGCATCTCCTTCCTTCTAGCGGTGAGTGGTGAGACCCCCCACCTTCCAACAAGACACTGAGCTTCCCTGGGTGGGAATTTTCATGAGAGGACAATCCTTCCCCCTGCGTCAGCCACCCAAGCTGGGCCCCCAAGCCCTTTCCTCTGGCTGTCGGCCCCGGCACTAACGGCACAGAGACCGCGGCCCTGAACCGTCAGGTCTGGCCGGCTGAGGCTGAGGCGGGTGTTGCCGGTCCTAGCGTGCGGGTTCTCGCGGCTGTCCCCGTGTTAACGCTGAAACACACCACGGCCACGTGAGCTCAGCTCCGCCCAGAAACTCGCGTCACCTGAGGGCTGGACTTGCCCAGCGACCAGGGCATCCACGGCTCCCCCGTGTCGAGTGTCCACGAGGACCAGGCACGGGGCGAGGTGCTGTGCCAGGTTCTCTCGTCAGCTGTGCCACACGACCGCACCCCCAGACCCCCGCACTACGCACCCGACAGGGGCAGTGCTTTTGTGACTTTCTCAAAACCGTCAACAGAGCCGTGAGTGCGTCTTGGGGGTGTCTTCCAGGACACAGGGGGTGACGTCCTTCACAACGGTCCCTGCTTGGATTTAGAGCCAGGAAAGTCTGTCTCGCGAGGGAAGCTTGCTTCCCCATCTCGGGTGAGGTCTACGTAACCCAGAATGTCTGCTTGTTTGCCTTGGCTAGGGGGAAACTCGGGGCTGACCCGAGCGCTCATCTTGGGCAAGTTCTGGGTCCAGACTCAAGCCGTTTCTCGGCTGCTCGGAGCCATTTTCCGATGCAATTTTTCGGCCATAATTCTTGTACGTGTTGCAACTTCGATTGGAGTTGGATTGTGAATGGAGAGGGGGACCAACAAGCGTCAAGTAGCCTTCAGGGGCAGGTGTCGCTCGTGTGCTCCAGGCTGTCACCCTTACTTCACGGATGGGGAGAGCCGAGCGTGTGGTCACTGATCTCTCTGCGCCCCGTCTCTCACCGAGAGGCAGAGCCGGCCGGGGACTGTGGCCCGGCTGCAGTGGCCACGTTCTTCTCACGCTCTGGCCAGGAGCCACTTAACAGCTACCTGTGGAACACCCACTCTGTGCCCCGTGCACCAGATCCCAGAAAAGCAGCCGCCTGGATGTGTGAGTGGGAAGGGGTCTGGTCCTGAAGGCTGCCTTCCTCTCTGGGCAGGCCCTGTCCACTGCGGCCACCGGCCTTTTGTGAAGGGATTTGTGCGCCACTCCGAGAAGGTGCCGGAGTTATGTGACAAAACCACAAAGACAGCAAAATTATCCCACTTGCCTTTTACAGACGAAAGGGTGCTGCAGCGGGTGATGAAATGTGAACTGCCCCCACCTCAGTTGAGGCAGCCCCACCCTTTGAAGATCACTCGGATCAGACACCTTGGGGGCGTCCTCAAGGCCGTTTTCTCTTGTCCCAAATGTCCATCCCTGTTGGGGGTGCCCCATGGCGTTCCAGGACCTGTCCGCCTCCTCCTCGTTGGCCCCCGCGTCCCTGGCCCTGCCCAGCCCACTCTCAGGAGGGCCGTGAAGCAGGACAGGAGCCAGGCTCCCGCCTGGCCACCCTGCTCAGACCTCCCGTCCCTCGTCCCGGCCACCCTGTCCCCTGCGCCTGCAGCACTCTGTCCTGGACAGCCACACGGTGGCTTGCGCCTCTTCTAGCGCTCTGGGAAAATCTCGCCCCCGAGTGGGAGCCCTGGGACTGTTACAACTGCACCCCTCCCCAGGCCCCGGCCTCCATTTATTCTTCTCCAGCTTCCTCCACCTCCCAACGCTTGCCGGGCTGTGAGGGAAACCGAAACATGTCACCCCGGAATGACTTCTCTGACCTATTTCAACTTGGCCATTCAGAGACACTGCAGACACGGGTATCCTCTGAGGAACCTGCCTGTGTGCGCGCGGGAACTGGGCACCGCGCGTGGGGTGAGCTGTGCTGGGGAGGGACGCCGGGGTGCGGACAGGCCTGCGCTGGGGCCCGGATCCGCCTCACCCGGATCAGCACAGACGAACGCGCCGGAGGCTGAAGATTTGGTACCTGAGGCCCGACAGAGAGACTGCCGTCACAGAGAGACTGTCACCACAGGGAGACTGTCACCATAGGGAGACTGTCACCACAGAGACTATCGCCACAGAGAGACTATTGCCACAGAGAGACGGTCGCCACAGGGAGACTGTCGCCACAGGGAGAGACTGTCACACTGGAGAGACTGTACCACAGGGAGAACTGCTCGCCACAGGGAGTCTCGCACCGATAGGGAGACTGTCACCACAGACACTATCCGCCACACGAGAGACTGTCATCCATCAGAATCTATCGCCACAGAGAGACTATCGTCCACACCACAGAGAGACTGTCACCACAGAGACTATCGCCATGGAGAGACTGTTGCCACAGAGACTGTCGCCACAGAGACTATCGCCACAGAGAGACTGTCGCCACAGGGAGACTGTCACCACAGGGAGACTGTCGCCACAGGGAGACTGTCACCACAGAGACTGTCACCACATGGAGACTGTCACCACAGAGACTATCGCCATGGAGAGACTGTTGCCACAGAGACTGTCGCCACAGAGACTATCGCCACAGAGAGAATGCCACCACAGGGAGACTGTCGCCACAGGGAGACTGTCGCCACAGGGAGACTGTCACCACAGAGACTGTCGCCACATGGAGACTGTCACCACAGAGAGACTGTCACCACATGGAGACTGTTACCACAGAGACTATCGCCATGGAGAGACTGTTGCCACAGGGAGACTGTCACCACAGGGAGACTGTCACCACAGAGAGATTGTTGCCACGGAGAGACTGTCACCACAGGGAGACTGTCACCACAGGGAGACTGTCACCACAGAGAGACTGTCGCCACGGAGAGACTGTCGCCACAGGGAGACTGTCGCCACAGGGAGACTGTCACCGCAGAGACTGCCACCACAGAGACTGCCACCGCAGAGACTGCCACCGCAGAGAGACTGCCACCGCAGAGAGACTGCCACCGCAGAGAGACTGCCACCGCAGGCTGCTATCTTTTCCTTCTGAGGGTGGCTCTGGGGTCGCCTGGCAGAATCTCATCTGCACAAGGAGCAGCCTTTCCTGCCCTCGGCCTCCCCTGAGCTGTGAGCCCCAAGGCCCTTCTCTCTGTCCCCTCAGGGTGGTACAGGACTTCAGTCACCTGCCCTTCCTGGGCCCACACGTGGGGGCTCCGTGCTCAAGGCACACGGCAGTGCAGTCGCCGGCTTTCTCCTGTCCGTGCCCGGGCCAGGCAGCTCAGGGCAGATGTCGCAGACTTAGGGCCCTTAGAGGGAAAGTCCACTTCCCTGCGGTTGGTCGCCTTTCCTGCCTCCCTCGAGTGGCAACCCCTCGGGGACACGCACCTCCCCGGCAGCCGTGCCTGGCACCGAGCGGCTTGCTAGGCGTCTGCTGACTCCCGCCAGGCTACAGGTCACAGGTCAGGTTACCGACACAGCCGCAAAGGCAGAGCTCAGTCATTCATTCGTTCATTCACTCATTCACCCTGCACTCCCGGGGCTCCTCCGCCCACCGAGCGGACGTGCAGAAGTGTGGGTGACGCCCCGCAGGGGCTGCGCCCAGAGAGTTCTAGCACGTCCTCCTCATCCTTCCTTTCGGGGGTGAGTCACCTCCGCTGACGAGGGGTGCTGAAGAGGAGGACAGGCCTCTCCTCTGCCAGGAAGTTACTCACGGCCCACGGTGCCCACGGCGGCATCGATCCCTCCCCCGCCCCAGCAAGCCAGGATGTTGCTCGAGATCATTTGATTTTCTGTTTGGTTGAAGCCCATTAGGACGGATCAACAGCCTTGCTGCTGGGGGCTTCGCAGGATGAACACACGGGGCTAATTAGACCGAGCTGGTGAAGAAGCCGCACAGTTTTATCTGGGGTGCTGTTTTATAAGAGTCCACCTTTCTGATAGAGCTCAAAAGTCAGAAGCTCCTCAGAGGCCTCGCAGGTGTAAAGAGCTGCTGTGACATCTGGCCTGTTAATCCTACGGGGCCCGAGACAAGCAGAACCTTCTCCCGAAGTAAATGGGCCGAGAAACTGCAGGATCCCCAGGACGGGGGAAGCCCGGTGTGTCCTTGGGGAAGAATGCAGCGGAGCTGGGGCAGGGTGACAGCAGGCGGAGGCCTCTGTGAGAAGCAAGAATTGGCTCTAGAACCACCCGCCAAATAGGCCTCTGTTCATTGCAAATCGCCCAGCCTGTGGTGCTCTGCTACGGCAGCTCGCAATGGGCTCAGACAGGCGCTGACTGTGTGCTCGCAGACCCGGCGCAGAAGGGGACCCCACCCAGCTCTGATGGCCTGCACCCCAGAGGCCTGCAGGGCCGATCGAGTCACCTTCTCCTGTCCATCATACACCCTGGGAAGGCCGTTATGTCTGCATGGCCACCAGCTCTCTCGCACCCATGCTCAGGCCGTGGGGAGAGGCGGTGGGCCTGCTCGGGGCAGGTGACCTGCTGCAGGCTGTGTGGCCGAACTGCCCCGCTGTCTGAGTACTGCACACACAGCTCGAGCAAACACGCTGCAAAGCCTCAACAGCCTCTTCTGCTCAAAGCCGTGTCGCACCCCTCAGCCTTCTTGAACCAGGGTGCCGCGGGGCCCTGTCTTTCTCCTGGCCCAGCGGCCGGTGTTACCTTGGTTGGGGGAGGCCCGGCTGAGTTCTCCAGGCGGGTGAGCAGGCGCTCCACGGCTGACATGCGCTTATTCAGCTCAGAGATCTGCAGCAGAGGGAGAGAAACAGTGGCCAGAGCTCCCAGCCCGCTCCCGCCAGCAGGGCACCTGCACCCACCACCTCGGAAGCACCAGAATCCCAAGAAGTGGAAGGAAAGCCAAGGCCGCCACCCATGCCAGGGCCTGGGAGGGTCACCTGTGACACGGAGGGTTCTGGAACACCAAGCAAAACCTGGGAGCAGCACCGAGGGAGGGAGGGAGGGCAGGACGGATGCGGCAGGAGAGGCGCCAGACCCAGCAAGACGGGGACGCTGATGCTGAGGGGCTATGACAGTGTCATTACCGAGGGGCAGCTACTGCCACGGCCGATACTGATGAGTATGGGAAGGTGTCAATTGATTATGCCGTGGTGATCAAACTAAAGGCCATTAGCTAGCAAGAGCCTTGGGTCACTCGTGGGCTGGGAGACACTCCAGGTGACAACCTATAGTGACCAAAAGTACAACTTCCTCATCCCTTGAGTCACCGGACTCTTGAGTCACCCAAAGTCTATTAGCTCCCAGACCCAGACGTCAGAAATCGATTCTCCTCCGGGTTTCTTCCTCGCCCAGAGATGCGTCTTCCCTGCCATTATCTCGTCGGCGGCTCACCTTGCTTTAAAGGCGGGAAATGACACTTGCGGGCTGTGAAGATGCTTTTGCGCTGTTCGGCAGGTAATTAGTTTGATCTTCATAGCACTGAGGGCTTCGAGTGGGCAAATCCGCCCCAAGAACAACAATGCAAGCTGACAAGTGTCAACACGAGGGTTTTGGTTAGACCTGGCCCGCGCCTCCAGCGGCCGCCTCGGCTCACATTCCGCTTCCGCAGAGAGAGCGATCGATACCCCCGGGAGAGGGTGCTCAGCAGATGGCTGACTCCCGGGGGCACGGTGTGCCGGGCTAGGAACAGAGCCCCTGCCCAGCCAGCGCCTGGCACTGTCACTGTGAAATGTCACATCTGGAGCGAAAGAGACACATCTGGAGCGAAAGAGCAGGGAACATGCCTCACGACGAGAAACTGGAGGGGGTGGGGGCGGCTGGGGTTGGCAGAGGTGGCAGGAGCTTCGGGTGGTGGAGCAGGGGGTGAGGGAGAGGCCCTCCGGGAAGCCACCAAGAAGGCAGCAGCGGCTCCTCAGCCCCTCGTGGCGGCCTCGGCCAAGCTGGCTGTCCTCCCCTTCCGCCCCGCGGTGGAGCAAACACTGAGTGCAAACGACAAGCTTCATTCTCCCCGCGGAAAACAGGAAAGAGACTTCTCCCTGCCTCTCCTCGGGTTCTTTCTCTGTCCTTTCCGGATGTTTGCAAATCTTGATAACGGCCAAACAGCCTCTGCACAGTCTCACAACGCAGGCGCTGGGAGCCGTCTTGGAGACTCGAAAGCCTCGGGGGACAGCGCCCGATCTCCCAGGTCCCAGGCGAGGGTAGGAGGCTCACATCGGTGGTACCTTGCTCCGATCTGCAAAACTACCTCCTGCCTTAAACACATGAGAAGTCTATTTGCCCTTCGATAAAGCCAACACAGGCGTCTCCCAATTACCGTGGCAGAGCCGGGATGGGCACTGTGACAAACGGTGCTGTCCAGTCTCCCCTGACTACTGGCGGCTTATCTTGAGAGTGGGCATGTGAGGTGCTGTGTCTGCTCGGCCCCATAATGGGCTGAGATCCCTTCCTGTCTTCCCAATCTCCTAATGCTGCGGTCCCCAAGCCCAGGCCGTGGACCAGTACTGGGCCGTGGCCCGTTAGGAGCCGGGCGGCACAGCAGGAGGTGAGCACAGGGGGACGAGCGGGCGAAGCTTCACCTGTATTTACAGCCGCCCCCCATCGCTCCCATCCCCGCCTGAGCTCCACCCCCGTCAGACCAGCGACGGCATCAGATTCCCACGGGAGCGCGGACCCTACTGTAAACTGCACGTGGAGAGATCTAGGTTGCATGCTCCTTATGGGCATCTAATGGCCGATGATCTGGGCTGGAGCTGAGGCGGTGATGCTGGCGCTGGGGAGCGGCTGCAAGTACAGATTGTCGTTAGCAGAGAGGGTTGACTGCACAGGGACCACAATGAATCAATCATCAATTGCTTGCAGACCCATATCGAAACCCTATCAGGGAGTGGTTAAGTGACGTTAAGCTGCATCTGGTGGCAGGCTTTATAGCGGCAAGTGAGCATCTTACTTCAATTGTATATTGCCTCTTTCCCTGGTCCGTGGAAAAATTGTCCTCCATGAAACCAGTCCCTGGTGCCAAAAAGGTTGGGGACCACTGTGCTGTCCTAATGCATTGCCTGATGTGCACATCACAGTCTGGTTTCATGCTTATTCGACGATGAAATTGTTTTCTTTCTCTACTATCTTTGGGGAGGGATTTTCTGGGTTGGAGGAATTCTTTTTCTTCACCCTTAATTATATTTCCCAATAGCAGCAACTGTTAGGGTGGTGGCAGCCCCACACAGGGCATGGATGTCTGAGCCTGTGTGGGCTCCAGTTGCCAGAATTATCATGCTACTTAGATAAGCATGGACGGAAAACTAGGTATCCACCTAGTGGAATGGATGGAAAAGCAGCATAAGGAACTCCTGCTGCTTTCAAGTTGTAGGCAACAAAATAAAAATCTACAATTTAGAAATGCAGTACAGACATAGGCCAGAGATTAAAGCAAACCACTTAAGTCTGTCACTGGTGACACTCGTATGGGAAACTGAGTCAGTGTCTGCAACTGGGGCCGGCTTGCGGGGGTGAGGGGAGGGGAGGATGTGGCCAGGGTTCCCTTTCCTCTTCCCTCTTCCATCTCTGCCCGAGGAAGCTTCTTTCTACCACGTGCATGTGCAGCCGCTGGCTTTCCCTGGGCGTGAACAGTTACCCACAGAAAGTCTTTCCTGATCACCCTCGTGCAGAAAGTCTAACCACGAGCACGACCGCAAAGGCAGGCAGCAGACAACGGGGGTCAGGCAGACTAATCCTGATAGAGCATCATGCCTGAGCACTCTCAGGCCCGTGAGGGCAAGTCTGTGGGTGCGGAGTTTAGAACTGGCTTCCTCCCCGGGCTCGGCAGTGGCCCCTTCACAGAGACCCCTGTGAGTCTGCCTAGGCCTCCCCTGAAGTCTGGGAGCTGCTGGCTGGGCTTAGACGTTCCTTCTGCTGCTTAACCAGCGTTGTATAAAGACCCATGGTGCAATCCAGGTGAAGTAGCAGCTTAAGTAAATAAAAGTTAGTGGAAATAAAAAAAGAGAAATTCCAGAGACAAGACGCACAAACATGCAATAGGTAGAGATCAGTTTTAAGGCAGCATAGCAGGTAACTGCTGTCGGCAGGGCTGGAGACCATGATATGTATTTCGCTGAGTTACTGAAGTCGCTAATTTAGCGCTTACTGAAAACAGACAACTTAATTCTAATCTTCACCCCTCTGTCTTCAGACTAGGGAAGCGGGAGATCCTGAGCTAGCCATGATTCTGCCAGAAGCCGCTACCTGGCCACGCTAGGGGGCCTCTACCTGGCCTCGCTGGCTCTCTACTGTCACCTGCAGGACAGTTCCCTGCATGGACCTAGCTGACGCAGTTCTGACACCCTTTCTCTTGTAGTTCTCGGTAATTGTAGGATGTACCGAGAATGCAGCATCCCGGGACAAGACGGAACTGTCTGGAACAGCCCGGGCCCTAGAATAGGACATCCTTAACACGCCAGCCCAGTGACCCAGCTTTCCCTGGGGTGCAAAGCGCAGAGAGGAATGCTTTCTGGGATTCCCCAGCCACGGTGTGGCACGGGGCACATGCTAGTGAGGCCCCATCCTCCCTGGGCAGCTTTCCTGAGCCGGGGGGACCCGTGAACCCCAGGCCCCCACGGGGCCTTGATGCCTGTCTGAGTAATAAAGTTGCTCCACCTGACTCGTGCGAGGGTTCGTCTCACGGAACAGACCTAAGAATGCGGGTGGTGGAGGCGTGATGGCTGCGGTACCCGTGTCCGCCTTGAACCCCTGCCAGAGCTGGGAACCCCGAAGTCCCCACGTCCCCCAGGGGCCAAGCCAGTCACTCCCTGGTCTCATCGAAGGACACTTCTGTGCATCAGGGCCTTACTTGCTGCCACCCAAAAGGGGTTCAGTGCTCCAGAAAGTGTGGGCCCCACGGGGTGCTTCTTTCAGAGACCAGGCGGCCCCTCGGGGATGTTGGGTGAAGGAAGAACGTCCAGCCGGGGGTGGAGGACGCTTCCAGATGACACTGCAGTGAAGCGAGTGCCCTGCCTAAGGGCACTGGTTCGGGAAGGGGACAGACACAGGGGTCAGAAGCTCCACGTTTCTACCCTGCTGACATTTTAGCCCAGTCAATTTTAGAGCAAAAAAGCCCTATAATGATTCCCCAAAAATGCCATGCTAAGAAAGGTTCTTTTCAAAATCCTGGTGCTCCTTTTTGGCGGACCACTTCCCTGGGCTCAGAGGCAAAGTGACAAGAGGTTGCAAGAGCCCCTGAACTATCCTGCACGTGAAGGTTTAGCCCTGGAAAACAGCCTTGGCACAGGTTTCCGGCTGCACGAGGGCTCAGAAAAGCCCTGGGTCCACTGGGCACCACTGGGCGCCTTTCCTGTTGCCCATCGCCCCAGCTGGCGCTGGGCTGGCGACTGCAGCATGAGCCCCAGGCCTAGGAGGGGAGTCCTCAGCTCCATGGCTGCAGAGTCGGACGACGCCCCTTCTGCACAGAGGGGTGAGGTGCTGCCGCAGCTTGAGTCCTGCAGAGCAGCCCCTGCAAGCCCGTCCCACCTCGCCTGCCCCTCGAGCCTGCACCCTGAACCGAGATAACCCCATCCGCACACTGCCTGTCCCTCCCGGCTCTGTGTGCAGGCCTTTCCTGAACACACTCAGCACTGCACTAGGCTTCCCACCTGACAGCCCAGAGCCTACGGAGGGTCCCGGGAGGAGCTCTGTGCCACCTGCCCACGCATGGATGGAACTGGACCTGCCCCAGGCTCCTGGGTGGCAGAGCTGCGGAGCTGGTCTCATCCAGAGCAAGCACACCTACCCTTTCTGGGTTTCATGCCGCTAGATTCATCGGTCACAAAACGGTCCCCAGTGCTGTGACTTCCCTGGTAGGAGTCAAGGCCCTGTCAGAGGGGTCAATGAGCCTGGATCTTTTATGGCTTCAAAGAGCCCAGTGGTCATGATGCTCCCATACAAAACGGCACTGTATTTCCCCGGTAAAATGTACCCGCTCAAGTTGAAATCAGCTGTCTGTAAACAGAATCCTAGTTTAAATGCAGTGGGGGGAACTCATGGTACATAAAGGAATCCTGTGATGGACTATTCCATAAATCCACATCCACCACGTGATTCTCACACTTAACACATGTTAAGTATTCTAAGTAGCATTTCCTTAAAGCTTGCATACAACCTGTTAAGAGTTTTAAATAAATGATAGATTATTTCCTCCTCTTGTGAAAGTCATAATACTTTATAGTATATAAAATACATATTCTCACGAAAAGGAATGTGTATTTTCCATATCCGTATACGCTACGACATGGATGAACCTCAAAACCATTATGCTCCATGAAAGGAGCCAGCCACAAAAGGTCACACGCCCTTCAGTGATTGCACTTCTGTGACCTGTCCAGAACAGACACATCCACAGAGACAGAAGGAAGACCGGTGGCTGCCAGAGGCTGGGGGAGGGGATGGGGGAGTAGTTGCTTGATGGGTCTGGGATTTTCTTTCGGGGTGATGAAGTTGTTTTGGAGTTAGATAGAGGTGGTGGCTGTATAGCACTGTGACTGTGCTGTCACCGAAGTGTACACTTCAAAATAGTTAATTTTTTTAAACATTAAAGATTATTTATTTTCTCCCAAATTCTATAAAATACATGTGAGTTTCTGTCTTTTTTCAAAATTTTTGGCCGGGCGCAATGGCTCATGCCTGTAATCCTAGCTTTCTGGGAGGCCAGAGGTGGGCAGATTGCTCGAGGTCAGGAGTTCGAAACCAGCCTGAGCAAGAGCGAGACCCCGTCTCTACTATAAATAGAAAGAAATTAATTGGCCAACTAATACATATAGAAAAAATTAGCCGGGCATGGTGGCGCATGCCTGTAGTCCCAGCTACTCGGGAGGCTGAGGCGGGAGGATTGCTTGAGCCCAGGAGTCTGAGGTTGCTGTGAGCTAGGCTGACGCCACGGCACTCACTCTAGCCTGGGCAACAAAGCGAGACTCTGTCTCAAAAAAATTTTTTTTTATTATAAAATACACCTGACAAAAAAATTTACCCTTTTAACTGTTTTACAGTGGTGGTAAGAATATTCATGTTATCGTATTACCATCACTGCCATCCATCTCCTGAACTCTTTTCATGTTGTTAAACTGAAACTCTGTGCCCATGAAACACTGACTCCTCATTCCTCTCCCCCTAGCCCCTGGCGCCCCTATTCTACTTTGTCTCTGTGATTTTGACGACTCTAGGGATGTCATGTAAGTGGAATCACACGGCATTCGTCCTTTTGTGTTTGGTATGATTTTGATGACTCTAGGGATGTCATATAAGTGGAGTAGCACAGTATTTGTCCTTTTGTGACCGGCTTATTTCATTTAGCATGGTTTCCTCAAGGTTCATCTATGTCGTAGCACGTGTGAGAATTTCTGTCCTTTTTAAGGCTAAAAAATTATTCCATTACATGTACATATCATATTTTGTTTACCCATTCATCCACGGATAGAAACGCTGCTTCCACGTTTTAGCGATTGTGAATAAAGTTGCTGTGAACATGGGCATCATACAAATACCTCTTGCAGTGCCCGCGTGCAATTCTTTTGGGTATATGCCAGTGAGTGGAACTGCTAGATCCCCACGTGGTAACTTCCACTTGTAGTTTTTGGAGGAACTGCCATGCTAGAATGCTCGGTACAGTGTGTGAATTCACTTCAGTAAGAAATGTATGTTGATGACACATCTCTGTAGCAGGCTTGTGCCATTTTACAGTCGGAAAATACAGAAAGTTTTAATTTCCCCAAAAAGCGACGTGGGGAAGGTGGGGAGGTCAAAGAGGCGACAGGAGGGACGTCTTTCAGGTGGGTGCCGTTACCTGGCTCTCGGACACAGCCTGGCCTCTCCTTCTGGGGTGGTGGGCGGCCGCCCTGCCGGCCCGGACGCTGTCTTCATCGGAGGTGTCCACGTCGGCCAGGTACTGGGGGGGCAGCTGCAGGCTGCCGGCGACGCCCCTCCCTGTGGAGTAAGAGCAGGAGGAATTACCTGGGCTGAAGAGCTGGAGGCTGATGGGCATGTTTTGCCCAGTAAAGAAAAGCCAGAGCTCACAGCAAACGAGGGCATAATGACATCCCTTTGGTGTTGAAGTCACGGCAAGAAGGGAGCAGATTCCAGGCCCCCACACAAGGATCTTCGGGGAGAAAGAGGCCCCTGTCTGGTGCTGCAGGTAGGGCTTGAAGAGTTGACATACTTCATGTGTGTAAATTCCAAACTGCAAATGTTAATACCATGTTTCCCCCAAAGTAAGACCTACCCATAAAACAAGCCCCGGCAGGATTTCTAAGCACTTGCGCCATGGAAGCCCTACCCCCAAAATAAGCCCTAGTGATGGGCGTGGCTACGCAGCGCATCTGCACCACCCATGCATTTTGTTGCACAGCGGGAAAGAAGAGGAGCAGCCCTGCTCATCTGCCCCATCGTGACAGCTGCTATCCCAGAGGTAACCGGAAAGGTGCGGGCAGCCCCACCCACAAGGTCGGCTCCCCGTGTCAGGTCCCGGTCATCCTGTGCGTGCTGCAAGCTGAGGCTTTGAGGGGAAAATAACACATCCCCTGAAAATAAGCCCTAGGGTGTCTTCTTGAGCAAAAATAAATATAAGAACCTGTCTTATTTTCAGGGAAACACAGTAACAGCAAATTCCCCGTGTGTGGAGAGCAGCTGGGGGCCTGGTGTGTCCCCCTCGACGGGGTGACTTTAGGACTAATCTTTCCACGTCCGCACGGCCACAGTCTAGACAGGGGGTCTGCAGGCTTCGTGGGCAGGAGTCCCCTCTGGTGTGGCTTGAATGCTTATTCCTGGGCTCTGGCAGTGGCGGGGAGGTCACCGTCACCACGTCCTCCCCGAACATTACCTACCACCCCTCCGGCTGGCTGGGGCGGCCGCAGACACAGCGGGAAGGAGGAGCACTCGGGGCAGATGCTCAGCAGGGAGCCCGGGGTCCCTGCTTGTTCTTGTCCTGGTTTGCAGGGCCCACGCTGCACCACACTCTCTGCCGACAGCCTGAGCCCCCGGTGAGGCTGTCACTCCGACAGCCCTGTGATTTCAGCCAGGGAGACCCTGTGCTGAGGACAGGATTAGACCCTGCCGCACTCCTGAGCCCGGTGAGATGATAAACGTGTGTTGTTTGGGGCTGCTGGTTTTGTGATAATTTGTTAGGCAGCAACAGTCAACAGATACAACCACCTCATTTAATCCCAACAACAGTGGGATGGGTTGGACGTTATTAATCCCTTTTGGACAATTTGGTAGGGGAGGCACAGAGATGCCAAGCAATGTGGTGGAACAGCGTGCCGTATCTCATCAAATCTCAGCTCCGTGGGCTGGACGCTGTGCCACTAAGAGACAGTTGTACTCTAGCACTCTGTTCTTGCCACATGCACTCCAAGAAACTCCTAATTTAAGAGACGTTGATATGTGAAAAAAAGAAAGCATGTGAGAATCATGCCATGGGCCGGCAGAGCCGGGCTCCACACTGGGGACTGCCCAGTTACAGGGTGCCCTCTCGGCCTCCCCCTCCCCCACCTGCCCCGCATCTTCACGCTTTGGGGGACATGAGGTCTCGGGAGGAGATGACAAGGCTGTCCAGGTCTTGAGCTATGACTTGGTCAATGCAGATTCATTTATTCATTGTTTTTGGGGAAAAGAAAGCCACGACTTTACCCTAAAGCCCCCAAGATTCTAATCAGTGTGAGGCCATGGTCCAAGGTTATGTCCCTGCGACAGGATGCAGAGGGAGGACGTCAAGTGGACGGGTTTCCCCCCATGGCTGGGGGCGGGCTGGCTGCGCAGTGATCTCATTTGGTCCCACCTTAATAGGGCACCTGAACTCCTGAACCCAGCGTCCACACTCCCCCGGGCCCAGGGAGAGACAGAGATTTGAGGATTTCATTAGGAAGCAAAACTGTCTGATAACAAAATTAAACAGAGCACATTAGGTTCTCAGCACTTAAAGGTCTCTGGAGTAACAGCCCGGAGCTGACTGTGGACCCGCTCCTTTGGTGCGGCGGCCCCAGGTGCAGCCTTAGACCTGATGGTCAGGATGGGCGGTCAGGTGACCCGGGGTCCTAGTCATTTCGGGGAAACCTGCATGCCCCCACCCCCGGCCATCGGCTGTGAGCTGTGGGGCCAGCCAGCTCCTAAGCTGGTATTTTGGGGAGCTGCAGAGCGCCCAGCCCAGGGACAGCAGGTGTCCCTGGCGTTTGCTAGGACCGCACACGCCGGACATTCATGCCACACGGAGGGGATCTTTTAAATCAGCCAGTGTGTCTGCGTAAGACAGGGTGGTGGGTGAGTTTCTCGGCGGCCCACTCCCCCGGCAGGGCCCACGTGGAAGACTCCGGCATGGGGCACCCACCTGGTGCAGCCGCCATGCCCGCGGCCATCCCTCGAGGGTCTCCGGGCAGGCAGAGCTCAGCGAGGTTGTCCTGTCCGGAAGACGAGAGGCTGCCGGGCTGCTCTCCTGGGTGGGCTCGGCCCCCAGCGGCCCCCGCATGGGCCTCCTCCAGGCCTGCAGCTGAGCGGGGGGCTGCCTCGTCCGAGCAGGGCTCGTCTGTGAGGGACTAAGCACACGGGGCCGCTCCTTAGAACGTGGGTCTTTCCAACCCATGTCTTGGGGATGTCCAGCCTTGTGACTGACCAAATCCTAGTCTCCCATCCACACTGCCACTCTGGTCTCCTGCAACTCAGTTCTGTCCAATTTAAAACCACACCTAGAGCATTTATTGCCTATTCTGCATCGAATGTCTGTGCAATGTTGGGTTCCCAATGACACCCGAGCCGGGCACCCCACAGGGGATCAAAACTCTCCTGATGCAGCCCTGGGGGTCTCGGACTCACCCAGAGATCCAGAGCCTGAGGACCTGGGCAGGGAAGTTATTTTTCTGGGGGGTGCATTGTCCCTAAATATGTCCCCGTTAATCCTCGAAGGTCAGAAGGTGAGAGTGGCTAGGGGAAGGGCTCCCTGGCAGCTCCTTGGCTGCAACCCAGATAGCTTGGGGGTGTGTGTGTCTGCACTGTGTCACTGTCCCCAAGGAAAGAAGTGCTGAGGGCTTCAACAAGCAGCACCCCACAGCGCCCTTCTGGCTTGACTGCAGGTGGGGTGGGGGTGAGAAAGAGGTCATGGGAAGCTTGACCTCCATGCCAGCCTCAAGTGACAGCAGGACCATGGCCCCTCCTCCCACAGGGGTTGCAGGCCAGCAGGGGTGTACCAGCTCTGGCCCGGCACTGCCTGGGCCCTGGGCCTTGTCCCAGCTCTGTGCCTGTAGCTACCTTTACTGCCTGCCCAAGTGCCTTGTGCCTGTGGGCTCAACATGTAGTCCTGGAAACAGTCCCACAAGGCAGAAATGAGCACCCTTTTCCAGATTAGGGAGGGCGCCTCAAAGAAGAGGTTCCTGGGACCAAGGCCACATGGCTGAGAAGAGTGGCCACATGTCCCGGTTTACCTGCATGGCCCCCGTGGGTGCCCCGTGTTCGTGGCATCTCTAGTAGCCGCCTCTTGCACTCGCACGTCTGCCCTAGCTTGGGCAACTAAGTTTCTGACCCCCCACCGGTGAGACCAGAGGCAGGTACAACCAGGCCCTGTCTGACCCCCTGGAGGACGCTGTTCTTTGTCCTGTCCTCCTGGGTCCTGGGCTCTGCCTTGCTCCTGTGCCGAGCACGGACCCCAGTCCCTGGCCCCTGACCCATCTGCCCAGCCTCAGGTTCCTGCCTTGCCCCCTTGTCACAGGCGCCCGGTCCGTCTCTCCAGACATGCGAGTCCTGGGAGGGGGTGAAGCTTCCGGATCCTGTCCCCTCGCTGCCCCACTTCTGGCCATGCTCTGGGAGCCTGGCGTGGCCGCACGGCCGCAGATGCTGCTTCTTGGCGTCCCCCGCCTGGGGCCTGAGCACCTGCCGCTCTCGAGAGCCGCTGACCTGCAGGCTGTCCGTGGCCCCGGGGACGGAGGACAGCCTCCGGGGACGACCTTGAGGCTGAGTAGAGTCATCTGAGTCTGCTTCGAAGTCCACATCTTGGAAGGACAGGAGGAGCTTTTTCTTAGCAGACACAAGACGAGGTGAGACTTGAGTCAGGGTCAGCTGGGCCGGGAGGACCAGACCCCTCGGGTCCCGCACCCCACACTCAGCCCCGCAGCCTCTTCCTGGAGCGGGTCCTCCTGCACCGAAGACCCACCTGAGCCAGCCCGGGGCCCGGTGCCCACAGCACCTGCCCCACCCGCAATGTCTGCGTGCCCAGGACCTTGGGTGGGCAGAGCAGCGCTGAGCTGCACCCGCTGGGGGAGGCGCAGGCTGCTCGGGAGCTGGGTGGGGGCCCTTGAGGTGCTAGGAACAGTGGGTGTGGTGGCCCAGGGGGCCAGAGGCGGGTGATCTCCCCAGAACTCCACGTTCTTTAGATGCGAGAGCCGTGTGGAGTTCTAAATCCCTCCCTGGTTTTAATTCTTTGGATCCTTTAAGCTTACTATCGTGGAGGGAATGTGCCAGGCGCTGGATGGTATTCTGAGCGCTTCATAGATGGCACAAATTAGGTGTGTGCACGCAGAGGGTGACGACATTCCCCACCGAGCCCACTCTGCCCGCCAGCTCCCCTGCCCGCACCCCGCCCGGGAACCCAGTGTGGGGCAGAGACCCCGCTTGTCTCTAGCACAAAAAATAAGTTCAACAGTAAGTGAAATCCAGGAATAAACACCAATAAAGACAAGGCTCATGGTTGGCAAGAAACAGGAGCAAAAATGTTCCCAGGGGAGAGCGGGGAGGGGTCTGCTTCTCTGAAAGATGGGAAGGCAGCCTGCACGGGGACCCGAGACCCCTCGGGGACCCAAGCGCCCCAGGACACCTCCCGGCACTCACGGCACCTGGGAGCCACACGGCCGCTTCTCCAGTGGGCTTTGCCCGCCCCGCAGCCTGCTCTGGGGTTTCTCATGGTGCGGGCAGCGTCCCGTCAGCGCTCAAGACCTCAGGGACTGTTGGGCACGGGAATGGGCGGAGGCTTTGTGCTCACGCTGTGGGGACTAGTGGAGTGGCGGACAGAGCGCGGAGAGTTTCAGGACGTCAGAGCCCGAGGTTGGGGCTGGGGGGCAGGGTGGCCGGGGAGGACGTACTTTGCTGCCAAGGGGCTGGGCCTGGGCCTCCGAGTCCGGCTCTGCATCGTCGTCCGTCTGCTCACCGTCCCCACTTTTCTCCCCGGGGCTGGGCTCAGGGCCACCTGCAGCAGACACCGGTGTGACTCCACCAGGGACAGCCAGCCTGTCCCTCCACCCACCCACCACCTACCCATCCCTCGCTCCCGCCCTGCTTCTGTCCCTCCACCCACGCATCCAGGCACCCATCTACTCATCTACCCATCCACCATTCTCCATCGGTCCATCCACCCACCAAGCTCTCCACCCACCCACCCACCCACCCAGGCCCCCATCTACTATCTACCCATCCACCATTCTCCATCTGTCCATCCACCCACCAAGCTCTCCACCCACCCACCCACCCAGGCACCCATCTAGTAATCATACCATCCACCATTCTCATCTGTCATCCACCCCACACTCTCACCACCACCCACCAGGACCATCATACTCATTACCATCCCCTTTCATCTGCTCCATCAACCACCAGCTCTCACCACCCACCACCACACCCACCCCAGGCAGCCATCCTAGTTCTACCCTCCCATTTCCCATCTGTCCATCACCACCAGCTCTCACCACCCACCCACCCCACCCCGGCCCCATCTACTATCCTACCATCACATTCCTCCATCTGGTCCCGATCCACCCACAGCTCTCGCACCACCCACCCCGCAGGCACCCATTACTATCTCCCATTCACCATTCTCATTGGTCCATCATGCACAGCTCTCCCAACCCACACCCGCCACGCGGGCACCCATGTACTATCTACCATCACCATTTCTCCATTGTCCAATCACCCCACCAGCTCTCCACCCCCACCAGACACAATCTACTCATCTCCCATCCACCTTTCTCTCTGTCCTACCCACCAAGCTCTCCCACCCACGACCCCCACCAGGCACCCAATCTTACTCATCAATCGCATTCTCCTCCCCCCCGCCCCAGCATCCACCCCCCACTGAGAAACGCCAGGCAAGGCCCTCTGCTGGCCTTTCCAAGACCTGCCCAAACATCAGCTAGAGCTGGGCCGGGCTGCAGCATAACACTAGCCCTCTGCAGGTCTGGCCACATCTGCAGGGGCCCCTGCGTTTGCTGACCACTTACTTCTTGGGAAGTCGGTAGACCCTGGAGCTGTGGGGTGAAACGGAGCCAGAGCTTGCGTATTAACGCTTTCCTGGCAGTCTCAGCCCGGTGCCCGGCTCCTTCTCTGCCCCAGGGCCCCTTCCTCACCCTGCCACCTGCGGCCCCGGGCCTCCCATACGGCCCACGTCTTCCCCTGTCTTGTCCCGTTCACGCTGGCCTGGCCTGCACCCTGTTTCCTTAGGTCACTGCAGAGAGTGACCCCATAAACAGGTCCCAGTGTCTGAGAGCTGGAAGTGCCCCGGACCATTCACTGCCTTCCTATCTCTGGGGCTACAGAGGGCACAGCTGGCACCGTGGAGCTCGGGTCCTCGGGGGCCCAGCCAGGTCTGGGGCCCACCCCTTGCTCTCTGCACATAGCGGGGCTCAGGCGTGAACTAGCAGGACAGCTGGTGACCCAGAGGGTGCACTGCCAGCTGCAAGGGGGGCAAGACTGCTGTGCAGTGCCAGCGTTGAGCCACCGTCTCCAGGCTGCGGCCCCACCTGCGCTCTGCCCCTCTGCCTTGCCGCTGCCGGAGGGCTCTGCCCACGCGGTGGGGCGGGAGAAGGAACATGCTCCTTCCCGTGCTTCCAGCCCCAGGGCCTCCAGCCTGACTGCGGCCCAGCCCCCTGTGGCCCTCTCCTTGGGGGACTGGGTGCCACCTCCGTGTGGCCTCCCGGGAGCTGCTTGTTTCTGTTCATCCCAGCCCCTGCCTGCTGCCCCCAGCCCTGGGCAAGGCGGGGGACACAGGTGCTCACTGCAGGTATCTCTGATGCCTCAGTACCCCCTTTCGCTTTCTCAGTGAACACCATTTTAGCAATTCCTTGCACGGAACTGCGGTGTGGTCCTGTTTCCAGCGTCTCCCCGGCTGACCCACTGCTGTCCCCACAGCTTCACTCTCATCTCTCGGGCCTGGGGCCCTCTGCGGGGAGCCCCTCCTTGGGCTTTCTGTCCCAGGGGAGCAGGGGTCCACACTGACCATCCCTGCGTGGGGACAGCAGGGCCTGCCTCTTCCACGCTTGTCCACAGGACGGCCAGCGCCCGGCACTGGCGGGTGTTCAGCGAGGGCACAGACTGGATCGTCAGCGCGCTTTCCCAAGCCCCCGACACGGGAGCTCACTGCGCAGCCATGTGCTCTCTGACCATGCGTGCACGCAACCCCCGATGGCACTTACAAGAGCTACAATTCTAAAACGCACGGGCCTCGGGCTGCTGTGGGCTCCCAGGCTTTGTTCTAAACCAACAGGGACCTTTCATATGGTTTTGGGAAACAGTTTCATTGTCTGGTTTCCCATTCATAAACACAGAGACAGACAGAAATGTGAACCAGCGGGGAGAACGGGACGGCTGAGAGGAGGGCTCCTTGGCGAACAGCTGAGATCGGGTTACAGACGCACCTCATTAACCTGTCCTGGCTGAAGCTGACCTTGCCGCTCCCGGCTTTGCCGCCTCTTTGGGACCGTCTGGGAAGGTGCCGGGTGCACGGAGGGGACCTGCCACCTGCCCTGTCTTAGTGGGCCTTGTGGGTCTCAGTTTGACCAGTGGAGAGAGCTGGGGGCAGGGAGGGGGCAGCCTGGTGTAGTTTTCACTGAAACTTATCAAGAGTTTTCAAGGGGCCCCGGGTGCCTGTATCCGAGCCCGAACTGGTCAGGACAGGCCGGCCTGGCTGGCGCCGGCCGATGACAAAGCCGGAAGCAGACCTGGGAACCACTTTTGTTCTCTGCAGACAGCGACTGCCTTGCGGAATCTCATCCCAAACCACCATGGAGGAGACGCCGAGGTGTGGACTGCACCCGCACGGAGGGGACGTGGAAATGGGCTTTCGGAGGCCGGGAGGCTGACCTGTCGGGGTGAAGTCCCTGCCCCCACGGGGACCATGAGGAGCAAAGCGTTCCGGGAGCTCCCGGACCCTTCCATCTCCCACGCTGGGGACAAGGGTGTGGGCTACACTCACCCACCTATCTGACCAAGTCATGCTAAAAATCATCCCAAGGATTTTCCGTGTTCCTGGCACGGGACAGGATTTTCTGACCACTCCTGATAGGGAAGAGGAAACAAAAATAAAAGCGTCTGAGCATAAAGGACTCAGTGCTGACGCTGGGTGAGGTCTGCACCCTGCCAGGCAAGCGCAAGGCCAGTGGACGGTGGAAAGGCCCCGAGAAGGAGGGAGGTGCTCTGCAGAGGGAGGGCCAGCCCAGGGCTCTGCTCCCCGCACGCCCGGCTTGCTGAAGGCTTGAGAAGACCCCGAGGCCCACCTGCCGGCTGGACAAGGTCTGCATTAGGCCCTGGCTGGGCTGGGTTTCAAAACTTCAACTTGAATCTTTTTTTAAAATACATATTCATATATTTTTATAGGTCATATATATTAATATATGTTTATATTTTAAGGCACAACTTCTCCTGGTTTGGAGCTCATTGCTCACACCCATCTTAACATGCTGTAGTTGCAGGTACCTGGCAGGGGGACAGGGGGACGCACCTCCTTGGCATCTCCCCGGGGCGGGGGGCAGGGGGAGGGGGGACTGAGACTACCCAGGTGGGGCTGGGGCAGCTGCTGGGAGCTGGTGGCCTCTGGGACCCGCTCCGAGTTCTGTTTTGTGTTTCCTGCTGCCCCACAGCGCCACCTCCTGGCCCTCAGTGGTGACAATTTCAAAAGGAGAAGGTTCTGGGCAGGCAGTTAACTCCAGTAGCTCTAGACCTGGGCCTGGCTTCGGAAATCCTGTGTCCTTTTTAAGTGACACAGCTTCCTGAGTCCACCCCAGTCCCGAGAGAACCTGCCTCTGGGGCTGAGATTCCCAGATGCTTTGCGGCCTGGCTTTCTCCCTGGCCACTGGCCGTCCCCATCCCTAAGCCTGGCGGGGGCTGGAGCGAGCTTCAGCTTCTGCTGCTGGGAGGCCCTGCAGTGGCTCCCAGCTGGCCGAGCAGGTGCGGGGAGGTGGGGTTTGCTGCTGGGCTGCAGCCTGGGACAGTGACGACAGCCACAGAGATGGCAGCCCCCAAGAATAGGGTGACGGTCTCTTCCTGCCCCATTGGGCGCTGCCAGTCACGTGTGTGTTGTGGCATGGTTGTCAGTAGGGCCTCCTTTTATCCTTAAAAATGTCCTGGGTTTGATGGTTTATTACACCGCCCCCACCACCACCCAGGAAGCGAGGCCGCCCTGTGGTCTGTTGCTCCAGGTGCTAGCAGCCGTTACAGGTGAGGGTGCCTCTGGTAGTCTCTGTCCTAAATTAAACAGCTCGCTAAGATGCCTCAGAAATGCCTGTGCCAGGCCCAGCGAGTCCGTGAACGCTCAGAGGGGTGGCTGTGCCCAACTTCTGCTCCTTCTATCCTCCCTGGGGCTTTAGGGGCCAAGCACAAACAGGGCACCTCGCCAGAAGGGGGGCCTGGGGGAGACGCCTGGGCAGGGGTGTGGGGAGGACAGCCTGGTCCAGAGAACAGCCTCTGCTCTGGCCGTGGCCCAATGCTGGAGCCAGGCACCTGCCTTGTGTCCTTCGTCCCGTGGATGGAGACATCCAGGATGCTGAGACCCCAGACACCCGCTTAGTGGCTGTCCCAGCCCAAATGGTTGGCCAGGCTTAATGGCGGAAGCCTAGGACTCAGGCAGTGGGGACGAGGTAAGCTCTCTCTAAAAAAGCACTGCTCAATTATTTGCTTTCAAGTTCAAGCTCAAGTGACCCTCTGGTATCCTCCCATGCTTCCCCTAAAAGGATCTCTCTTTCCAAATGCCTCAGAGAGGGATGACACAGGAGATCACATTGTTTAGTTTAAGATCACAGCCTGGATTTCAAGTTCTCCATGAAATAAACACTTGGATTTAAAAGACTCAAACAGTTGACTTGCAACAGATTTCTCTACGTCTTGATAATCATCACATTAAAAAGCTGCCAACTTCATGTAAGACACCAGAATCAGGAACCGACAGAGAGACACGTGCACACACACACACACACACACGCTCCAAGGGAGTCTGCCTGGTCCTGAAATGTGAAACATGCCCGGGAACAAAAGGAACCCCTCCCCCGTCCACGCCTTACCTCCCCCCAGCCGCCCGTGGAGGGACTGGATCACTTTGGCACTCCCGAAGCGCTTGAAGCGGGCTCTCACGAGCTGGTGGTACCACTCCAGCGAGCCGATCTTCACCACTCTGCGGAGAGACCGATCGGCACAGGTCCACGGCACTGCCCGCGTGCATGTGGCACGTGCAAATGCCACACATACACACACACACACACACGCGCGCGCGCACGCATGTCCACCCTTGTTCAGCCAGCCACACTCCAAGGACATGCAGGCCCAGAAGCCATCAGGGCCTCTTGACCTCGAGGCCCTGGCTCACCTGGCCAGGTGGCAGGGGTCGCAGAGCCAGCCCTGCTCCTCCGGCTGGACGTGGCTGCAGCTTTTGCAGGTGAACAGGCCGCAGTTGAGACATTGCCTTTTGCTGTTCACGAGCAGGCGGTAGGGCTGCAGGCAGCGGGCACAGTGGGTCTCGTTCAGATGGGCAGTGTCGGACAGCAGCTCCCTCTTGGAACTTTCCTTCTTAATCTTGCCCTTCAACCCCCTGGGAAAACACCAGAAAGAGGAAATATATCAGGCATGTTGTTCTTGCGACAGGCTTTAAATGTGTATGCATGTGCATACACACATACACACACACACACGCACACACATAAAGGAGCTCTCTCACATGCAGGAAATAGTGGCCCAAGGTTGGGCAGAGGCACCCAAAGGCAGCCCTTACCATGCAGTGCCAACTGCATGCCCCACTCTATCTCTGGGAGGAAGACCAGTAGGTTGAGTTAAAATGTGCAATTTTGGTAGGCTGGAATTGAAACATATTAATTTCATAGAAATGACATTGTAATAAGCATTTCTGTGGCTGTTTACAATTGTACCGGGGTTCGGAGGGCAGGTCGCTGCACCCTCCCTAGTGGGATGACAGAGTCCTGAGGGCAAAGCCAGGTGACATTTCCTCAGCAAGCAGTTCTGGGTCCCTTCCAGCAGGGCACCGAGAGTGGAGCGGACACTTGGCTTGGAGAGTTTCCAGAGACGGAATTACCCAGCACCAGGAAGTCCCAGGAAAACCACAGCTCTCCTGGACCACCTGGTTTTGAACAACACAGCTTCCTGGTGAATCGGCCAACCTGAACCGACTAGAAAATGTACCTAGATAATAATGAACACATTCTTTTGCTTTGGATATCAGAGAATGTCTGCCAAACATACTCTTTTAAATTTTAGATGAGATAAAATCAATCCATTCTTAGCGACAAAATTAGAGAGACACTAGGTGCCGTTGTCTTCCGAGAACTCTGAAGTTCTTGCCTTTTTGATGGGGACGGCACAGACTATCACAGGGTGAGGGCCATGGGGTCATCCTAAGAGGTGTCGGAGGCTGCCTCTGGCTGAGTGTGGCCCTGCTGAGCTTCACTGACGCCCCACTCCCAACTGTTCATTAACATACCCACCAAGACGGACACGAAACAAGGCTCTTGTCGCAGCTTCAAAAACCAAGAAAAAGAAAAGTCAAGCAGTTGTAGGAATCTGGGGCAGGGGGTGGAGGGATACGGTCATCCACAGAGTACGGTCTGGGTAAAGCTGCATCCACAAGGTCAAGTCTTTGCCCAGAGAAGCACCTGGGGCCAGAGGGGAAGGGCCCAGTGCCCTCTACTTCGGCTCTTGCCATATACGTATCAGCCAGAAAGCCTCAAGGCCACCCCTTTGCAGGGCAGGGCTTGCCTGGCCTCTCTCCCGGTGGATGCCATTTATTTTGTATCCTGGTGGAATTATAGCCCTGAGGCCCAGCACAGCAGAAAAGATGCCGAGGACGTGTGCGAGAGCATTGCATCCCGGGATGTGGAGTCCTAGGGCAGCAGCGGGAGGTTGGTCTATTTCAGGTGCTGACCCGGGGGAAAGGTTAGTTGTGCTCTACACTTCAGGTTCTTTAAAACATAACTTCCCTTCTCCACATCCAGAGAACAGGGAGGGAGGGCAGAGGAGACCCTATTTGGGGGGACCAGATGATGCCTGCCAGCAGGTGGGCAAATCAACCAGACCTGGGGGTTCGGGTCCCAAGGGGTGAACGGGGCCACAGCAACCCACGCCCCCTGCCTAGCGCAGACGCCGGGCCAGCCAGCTGTCCTCCACTGCAGGCGCATCGCAGGGGAAAGCCCAACACGCGGCTACAGGTTAAAGTTACCTTCAGGAATAAAAGACTCTCCTGAATGTGATGCAATATCAGAAACAGAAGATTTGAAACAGAGTCCGCATGGTGTGCTAAACGGGGCATAAGAAGGTCCGCACAGTCTCGAGGAGACGGCGGCAGGCAGACCACAGGCTGTGCTGGCCGAGGTGGGGAGGAGCTGGTGAAAATAAACATGGGAGGGAATTGCAGTTGACAATGGAGGGGAAAAGGAGCAGAATCTCTACCGTGGAACGTCAAACCCAGAGATTCAGAACAGTGGTTCTCAAAATGTGTTCCAGGGACCTCTGGAGGTTCCTAAGATCCTTTAAGGGAATTTACAAGGTCGAAGCTATTTTTGCAACAGCACTGAGACATCATTTGCCTTTTCTTTGCTCTCTGATGCCTGCACCCCAACGGTGCAGAAGCAATAGCGGGCAAAACTTCCAGGGCTGCCGTACGGATCAAGGCAGGGGGACCCACTGCATGAGCGCTCTCCGTATGCTTCCTTGAGAAAGAGAAGGACATTTAAGTATAGCCTTGATGAAACAGTAAAAGTTGTGAATCTTTTTGAGCACCTGAGCACCGAGCACCTGCCCCTTTAGCATTCCGTGAGCGCAAACTGGAGGAGTACATAAAGCACTTCTGCTGGGCATCAGAGGCCGACAGAAGTTTCAACAAAAGGAATTGGGCAAGTGTTTGGATTGCGGCCTGAGCCAGCAATTCTTTTCACGAAAGACCGTTTTCACGTGAAAGAACAACTGAGAGATGAACTATTCTGACTTGCGGGTTTGGCAGACATTTTTCTCAAAAACGAACAAAAGTGAGCCTGTCACTTGGATGAAAAGGAGCGACAGTATTTATCGCCGATGACAAAACCAAAGCTTTCAAGCACAAAGTAGAACTTTGGAAAACATATATCCGTGGCTGAGAGCGTGACAGTTCCCAGCACTTAAGAGATTTCTGATGGGGCCTGCGGTGACAGTAATGGCTGTGTTTTTCTTTTGTTATGCACGATGAGATGTGTCAACATTTGGAAGGTCTGCATAACTCAGTGAACCAGTATTTTCCAAATGAGCAATGCACGGTGCCACAAATATCGCGCCGGGGTAGAAGAGCCGCTCCAAGCGCGAGACAGAGCAAAGGGTTCCGGTGTCACCGAAAAGGCGAAGGTCGCTGAGGCTGTTTCAGAATCCGCATTACAACTAAGCTTTGAGAAACTGCCAACTGCCAGGTTTTCGCGTAGCGTCAAAGCATAACGTAGACAGAGGATTTTAAAGCAGCCCTCCTTTCTCCAACTACACAACCGCGTGCGAGGCCAGGTTTGCTCCGAATGCTTCCGCCCAAACGCATCACAAGGCGTGGAATGAGGAGGCAAGATGAGACCCAGTCATCTTCCGCTATGCCCTGGACAGTAAAGGGATTTTCACCAACACAGAACAATGCCACTCTTCTCACTCACGTTTCTGTTTTGGAAAAATAGTTGTTTTTCATAAAAAGGATATTTACGTTAACACGTGGGGGGTTTATTTTTATTTTTAGATGAGTGAATAAATCAACAGTTTTAACCCTCCCAGTGTTAATTTCAATATCGCCAGGTAAGGCCCATGTAAGCAACCCCCACTTTGGGGTCCTCGGTAATTCAAGAAAGGAAAGGGATCCTGAGGCCCCAAAGCTTGAGAACCGCTGACTCTGAAGTCACCTCTGCTCTCTCTCCCAGCATGCAGGGGAGGGGACAGCGAGAAGGCAGGGAGAGGAGAGGCTGCAGCGGCAGAGAGCGCAAGAGACCCGGGAAACGGCAGGCAGGGCGGACGGGGCCTGCAGCGGAGTCCTCGGGACAGGGGACCCACACCGCCGTCCTCCGGGTCACCCTGGGACGCCCACATTGAGAGCCAGGACCGGTGGGCGCAGAACAGAGTTTAGGGGAGATGCCTGCTGCAGAGGGGGGCTCTGTGTCCTCCCAGGAGAGGACGGATATGATGGAGGGAAACCTTCCCAGCACAGGAGGAGGAACGGGGAGCCCCTTCCAGCAACGACGGGGTGCGGAAGGCAGACACACTGGGCAGGGTGGAGAGATGAGGCCTGTGTCCCTGCTTGGCCCCTCCTGGGGTGGCATCCAGAGGGAGTGTGGGGGCAGCGTGCAGGAGGACGGGGGAGCCAGGGCACCGGGGGGCTGGCAGCCCACCCGTCCAGGCCCGGCACAGCCGTGGGGAGGGGCCCGGCCAGTGCTTCTGCTGGCCACTGCTGTGTCCGTGTTGGGGTAACGGGGCATCCACTATTCCAGTGACCCTAGGCCATGCCCCAGCAGGACGGCTCGAGGTGCTGAGCGGCCAGGGGCTGGTGAGAAGAGGCCGCAGTGGGCAGGTCCGTGGCTGGGGTCAGCGTCTCAGTGGTGGGTACCAAGTGCATCCCAATGCCCGGGCAGGGCCATTCACACCTGAGGACGCCAGCCTGACCTGCACCCTGCATCAGGGATCAGCAAGGAGCCCGCAGGCAGCGGGCAGTTCCTGAAGTCCCGACACTATCAACTCTGTCACCAGGAGGGTGGTGAGCCCTCACCCCAAGCCCCTGGCCAAAGGCACCGGGTGGCAGAGGGGGGCTCTGGAAGGCGAGCTCAGCCAGGGACAGAGCCCAGAGACCAGCTGAGCTCTGTTGCTGCTCCAGGCGTGGGCCCCTCGGGCAGGATTGGGCAGGGAATAAAAGAACTGCATTTCCGTCGCACAGCTTCACCGGGTGTGAGTGAGTTTCTGCCCCTGCCACGGAAGCAGCAATCTCACTAAGACAGGGGAACTCTCCCAATCAGAAAAAAGAAAGAAAGAAATAAAAAAAGAGCTGGATCATCAGATTTGAAGGGGTCACTGGAGTGTAGGTGACACACGCACCGATTGAAGGGGCTGCCCAGTCACAAGGATGGAGAAAATCCCAGCCGGAGTGGGCAGATAAACAGCCACCTCCAAGGGACCGTGGCCGGGCCCGTGGCTTCCGTGCAAGGTTGAAGCGGCGGGGCACTCCCGTCCTGCTGCCGCTGCTACCGATGTCCACAGACGTCGTGGCTTAACACAGTGCACACCTGTCACCTTGCATTCTCGGGGGCAGTTCCACGTGGGATTCACTGAGCTAAAATCCAGGTGTCACCAGGACCGTGACCCTTTCTGGAGCCCCTGGGGGTGAATCTGCTCCCGGCTTCCCCAGCGTGGGGAGGGGCCCATGCTCGCTGGCTCAGCCCCTTCCTTACCCTCATGGTCAGTGATGGTGGGTCGAGTCTCACAGAGACCCCCTCTGACTCCCTCCTCCTTCCGCTTGGGCCCTGAGATGACCTTGGCCCACCCAGGTCACCCAGACAACCGCCCCACGGCCAGGTCAGCTGACCAGCAGCCTTA